GGTTCAAGCTCTCAACCTTCAGACTGACCAACACTCATCCGGAGCCTGCTGGCTGATATTTCTAAATAGTGCCACAGAGCAAAAGCTTGTGGGTCCTCCTGTGGCCTCCAGGGAACACTGGAAGTTCCACTTTCCCTCTCAGTTGCCCCACCCCAAGCTCCTGACATCCTAGCATCTTGTATCCTTCACAGAAGTCAGAGATAGTAGGGACCTCTCTAGACCAATTTCTACCTAAGAGGAATTCTCTGTACAATGAAGCCCAAAAGCATCCAGCCACCCCCCTCACAAGGCAGCCTGCCCCATCCCACTTGTGCAGCACTCTAGCGCAGAGCACTCCCCTAACATCAGGCCTCTGTTTGTCTCTGTGCTACCTCCCCTCGTCTCCCCACCTCACAACCTGGTTCCTGCTTCTGTCCTCTGAGGCCAAGAGCAAGCCTCATCTCCCTTTCATGTTGCCACATAACACCTACAACAATCTGGAGGCACCTCTCATGTACCTTTATTCTCCTCCCCTCAAGACTAAAGCTCCCCAATCACTTCAACCGATCCTCGAAGGACGCAGACTTGAGGCCCTCTACAATTCTGGCAGCCTCCTCTGGACTCTCTCCAGTTATCAATGGCCCCATACACCCCTTTCTGGACTGGACTTGGGACTTCAAGTGACTTCATTGGAAGAGGGCCCTTACTCTTTCTATGAACGCAGTTCAGCAGCTGCTCTGGGACTCCCAGTTGTACAGTGCTATCTGGGGACACCAAGGGGTTCAATGACCTCTCCAGCATCACACAACAGTCTGGATCAAAGGTCTAATTTCAGCTTAGGTCTTCCCAACTCTGTCTACTCACCATGCTATGCGGCTGCTTCTCCCCAATGATCTTCCTAAACAATGGCACCCACAACTGAACCTGACACCTGAGACATTGTCTGACCAGCACCACCACCCTCTTCATTGTCAGAAACTATGCCTATCTTAAGGCAGCCCAGGAACACACAGGTTCTTGTGGCTGCCCCATGGCACTGCTGGTCCAACTGAACCTGTGGTCCACTAAAATCCTCAGTACTTTTTCTGCTGTTTAACCATGTTTCCTTTTTTGTACATGTGAACCTGATTTTTTAACCCAAGTGTAAGATATTCTATTCATCCATACTTGAAAGGCATTTTAGCAGATTCAGTCCAATGCTCTAATCTGCCAAGACTTTTCTGGATCCTCACTCTGTCATCCAGTGTGTGTTTTCTCCCAGTTTTATGTCATCTGCAAATTGGAACATTATGCCATCTAGACCTTTTCTTATTAACCTCTCCCTGTCTTCTCCTGCCCTCCAAAGGAGGTATATAGCCAGGGGGATCTGATAGGGCAGGTCGAGGCGTGTCAACAGGTTTCTCTTCAAATTAGAAACACTTGACCCTTAACTAAATATTCAGAAACTCTTTGGAACGGTCTGCCTTGAAAGGTCAGGAGTTTCTTGTTTTAAATGTATTTCATTAGAAGCAGGACTGAATACCAGTCAAGAATATTGTAAAGAGAATTTGGTTTCAGGAAGGGACTTGCCTAGATGCCCCCGACGGTCCCTTTCAACTCGGAGATCCCATGATTCATTCTGCTAACTTCTCTACTGCAGCTCTGAGAAAGCCAAAACCAAACCACCTGAAGCCACAGAGGAAAAGCTCTCCACTGTCCTCCTCTGATTCTTAGCCCCAAATGGTCACAATCTGAATGGAAAAATGCTGAGCGACAGTCTGTACCCTAACTGCTAACCACTCCATCTCTTTTTGTCAGGAGCAGAAATGGGCAGGGACAGGCCCTGGGTGAAGAGATGGCCCAGGGCATGCCCACATGGTCTAATCTGACCTCAAGTGCACAGCTCTTCAGCTAGCTCAGTATTGTTCTGCCAAGATGCTGGGGTGGGAGGAGGGGACACACAAGCTCACATATCATCTCTCTCACAGGGTCGCCATGAAACGGCTTTAGATGGACCTTAAAGTGCTATAGAAGCGTGAACTGGGATTAGTAACCAGTTTTTCTCAACTCCTTGTAATGAAGCCTATGAAAATCAAAACAGTTATTCTCTGGAATATAACACACCATCCAAATCAAACACAATGAGTCTCCCCTAAACCCAAATATGGAAGACAGTACAGGTGGGCTTGTGAAAGAAGCCTCCCTAGGTTTTGGTCCTCAGGAAGATCTATACTCCCCAATGCACAGGGGACAACGTCTGTGAATTTTGTACTTCTTCAACCTAGAATATACTGTCTGTCATCAGAAGAAATTACTATATCTACCTGTACTATATAATTGTAAAAGAAATCAGAAGTGCTCTCTAGGAAAAAAAAAAAGAATTACAATGACACAGTCCATTAATTATTGCTTTTTGAGGGACGCTGAGACTGATATAACTCTAAGTTACTATTATTCCGCCTACAGGAACCAAAGCTGTCTCCCTCACCCCTTGCCTCTGTTCCCCCTAAGAGGACAGGGATAGGAATGAGTCTATTTCCCTCTCCTGGGGGCAGAGAAGGTTGGCTTCCACAATGCCACCAGCTTGTCTCCCCAGGTGTTAGCACTCTCTCCCTCCTGAAATGACTTGGTAGATTCTTTGTATTAACATACAGTGTACACATTGCATCCCCTGAACTACACAAATGGTTCTTAATCCTTCAGGATTAAGACTATTCCATTCTGCCTTGCTACTCCACAACACAGCACAATGCCTAGCATATAAATATTTGTTAAACGGAATTTTTCAAAATGCTGAAGCTGTCATGTCAGTTCCCTGATTGAGAAACTTACTCAACACTTCACCTCTTAGGTAGGAAGCTCTTTGAGGGTACAGACTGTGTCATTTTTCATTTTTAATCCTCAGAACAGTGCCTTAGGCATGTTAAATGCCTAACAAATGTTTGCTTCACTAAACTGATTAGACTGACATTCAAGGTCTCCTGAAATCTGGGCCCAATCCATTGTTCTAACTTTATAGTCTTTTTCCCAACTTCTATTCTCTATTCCATTGAATGGTGGGCTTACTGGTCCCTAAACACAACTGACTCTAAGCAAAGACCTGGATGGAGAAATTCATGCTCTCCTGCCTGAAATATATTTTCCTTTTCCCCTCAGCCTATCCAAATCTTCTCTGCCATAAGATGCCTACTTCACGGGGTCTTCCCTGACCACTTTTGTACCCAAAGATTTCTTTTTCTTATGAACTCACCTAGTACAGTTGGTGAGACCCATTCGGCATAGCACTGTTCTTTAATTTCTGAAGTGTATCTTCTCCCTGGCTGGACTATAAACTATTAAGAAGAAGGACTGTGTCTCATACTACTCTGGAACTCTCCTAAGGTCAGTCTGCACAGTGCCTTGCATATGATAGTCACTCAACAACATTTTTTTTCGTTGACTTATTTAACACACAGAGGCAAAGCTATTAGGCATCTATCTTAAGGAAGTCAAAGACAGAAAGAAAGACCCCAAATGTACAAAAATATTTGTAGCAGCTAAGAGGTGGGAAAAAAGTAAATGCCCACTGGTGAACAACAGCTGAACAAATCATAGCATGTTAACGTAATGAAATATTATTCTGCCGTAAGAAATGATGATTATGAAGAATTATGAGAAACTTGGGAAGAACTGAGGCAGAGTGAAGTTAATATAATGAGAAGAACAACGTACATGATGACCATGATATCATCGGGAAAAATAACACTGAAAGACCTCAGAACTCTGATCAACACCATCAACAGTCATGAGTGCAGTGGACTCAGAGTGAAGCGTGCCTCCCACCTCCTGGCAGAGCGTGTGGACCAGAGGTGCAGAATGAGGCAGATGTTTTCAGACAGGGTCAAGTGCAGATTCGATTTGATTGTACTTATTTTGGAGGAAGGAATGGAGAGTAATTAGGAAGTGACATAAGAAAAGATCAATAAGCTTTTTTAAATGACACAGATTTACACACCTTTTTAAAAACACAGTTAAAATGCACAGTCAAGTCTCCTTACTCATAGATACTCTATTTACCCACCAAATCTATGCCAAGCCTCTAGCACATTCTATGCAACATATCTCCCGGGGCAGCTCTCAGTAGAAACCTAAGAAGGTACCTTACAGGATTCTCCAGGGGTTCGCAGCTTTTAAAGTCAGATACTCAAATTACTCTGTTCACATGCTCCAGAAAAGTAAAGAACAAATTTCACCATTGAGCCAGATGCCCAAGAACAAAATCTGTGAGGACAGTTGAATATGTCTCGTCTCCTCTGCACTTAGAAGCCAGGCTGACTAATGTTGAGGCCAAAGAACTAACAGAGATAAGCAGACTAGGGTGTAGCCAAGAGCTCTCATGGAAAGCTCTTTCAGGGGGAGGATGATCCAATTCTGGAGGTACCAGGTACCTCCGTCTACCACACCTGGATGTCTCATAGGTAGAAGTCTCCCAAGCCCTTGTTGCTTAACGGTTCCTTCTTGTTATATAGAACAGTCAGGAACAATGGACATGAATAGCTAGTCTGGAAAAAAAAATCCTGTGGGCTCCCTAGTACTACTGTGAAGGTAAAGGATGGGCTGCACGTTGGAGGAAGAACACCAGACTTGGACCTAGGTTCCAATTCTGGCTCTGGTTACTTACTGCCTATCCCTAACCTTGAGCAATGTAATTCTCCTTTCTGGGCTTGATTTCCCTCATTCATAAAATAAAATTGGTCTACATCAGGAGTCTTAACCTTTTTTTTTGTGTCATGGATCCCTTCAGGAATCTGGTGAAGCCTACAGACCCCCTTCTAAGAATTTTTTTTTTAAAATGCATAAAATAAAATTCATACGATTACAAAGGAAACCAATCATGCTGAAATATGATTACTGAAATATTAAAAAAGACAAGTTCATGGACTCCAGGTTAGATGATCTCTAAAGTCCCCACCAACTCTAACTCACATAATTCTGTGAATGCAAGTGTTATTCTTAATTCTAGTTACTTTATTATCAGATTTGTAGTTAAAATAAGTCATTACCTGTTGTTTTCTGAACTCAAAAAACTCAGTAAGTGAATGGCCCAAAGGATAGGTCCTACATATGTTGCAAAGGCTGTGAGGAACATAGCTGGTACTTCGATATAGTGGTCTAGGCCAACAAAGCCTGCTGAAATATCCACTGTGGCAATGTTATTGGAATTACCCTGAAAATAGAGGAGAAAAAAGGTAGATGAGTCTAGTGAGGTATTAAATTTATTAAAACATTTTAAAAGGTTACACAATGCTTAGAGGCTTTAATGCCAATAGTAAAATCTTAATTATGTATTTGTTCATTAAATTTTTTATTAAGACTTACTACACACGACACTGTGCTAAGTATTGCCAGAGGTACAAAGACTAATAAAACAAGGTCCCTCTCGTCAAGGAGCCTATATATAGTCTAGCGAGAGAAATCAGTTGTGTAACCCATATAACTACAATACAAAATAGACTGTGATGTACATGATGTGCACATAAGAAAAGGACAAAGTGCTTTGAAAAAGGGGAAAAGTCACTTCTGGCTAAAAGATAAGGGAAAGCTTCACGGAAAAAGCAGCATCTGTGGATCACTGTAACAAATTTAAAAGTTCTCAGTAAGGACACCACGATAAAATAAAAAATGCCTTGTCTTTTGAGTCAGAATACTTGTGTCTAAGACTTCACTCTGACTTGGCAAATTACTTCATTTCTGAGACTCCATTTCCTTATCTGTACAGTGGGCAGGTAGATGGCACAGTGGATGGAGTGCTGGCCCTAGAGTAAAGAGAACCCAAGTTCAAATTCAGCCTCAGACACTTAGTAGCTGTGTAACCTTGGACAAATCACTTAACTCTGTTTGCCTCAGTTCCTTAAAATGAGCTGGAGAAGGAAATGGCAAACCACCACAGTATCTTTGCCAAGAAAACCCCAAATGGGGTTACAGAGAGTCAGACATGACTGAAACCACTGAAGAAACACTAAAAGGTGAGGATAATACCTACAATAACTACTTCACAGGGTTGCTGTGAGAACTATAAAAATGTGAGTCGTTATGGGGGAACAAGGGAAAAACTGCTTACTTTTCAACGAAATCTTGGAAATTTCAGTCAAGGGAAGACTTAGAGGGACATGATCACCAACTTCAAACACCTGAGTGATGCGTGAAGGACAGGCTTTGGCTAAAACATATCCAGGACAGAACGACAGAAGTTACAGGGAAACCAACTTCAGTCTCCAATAAGGAAGGACTTTCTAACTTCCAGAAAACTGAATAGACTATTGCATGAGGCAGTGACTTTCACCTCATTTGGCTCTATCTAGGTATTGGAAGTACTTAAGTGGATTTAAGTACTGGATGGTATGTAAGTAGAAATGAGTTGATCACATGAAGTTATAGAGGAATTCATGCTTTAGGTAAAGCTTGGAAATTAGATGACCTTTCAGGTCCCTTCCACCTCCTGGATTCCATGATCATATGAATTTTGCTGTTGACTCTGCAGTCCTCAAATAGCTTACTCCTTAGATGACCTACACGCCCTCAGGAACTGGTGTATAGTCCACTTCTATTATAGTTCAGCTTTTTCTTAAAAAGCAAGTTTCACTGACATCTTTTGTTTTTACACCCTGGTCATCTCTGGAGTATTTTTCTGTAGTCAGAGAAGCATGAGAAGACTTATTTGAGCTGATTAAAAAAAAAAAAAACGAAGAAAGCAGAACCAGGAAAACTGTACATAATGATTATGGAAACAGAAACATAAAGAATAAATAACCTAAACTGAACCCTGGAAAATTACAATATTTGAGCGTGGCTCAATAGAAGAACTGAGAAAATCAATTTCCTCCCCTCTTTACAGACATGGGGGATTATGGCCATGGAATATTATATATACTGTCAAACACAATTTATTGGTTGGTTTTGCTGAACTTTTTTTTCCCTCTTACCTGTTCCTGTAAGCAGTGCCTTGAAGGGCAGGAGAGAGGGGATGAGTATATTCAGAAAGAAAAGTAATATAAAAGCAAAAGATATCAATAAAGTAGAATTTTTAAAATGAGGAAGTTGAACTAGATGGTCTTCAAGATTCCTTTCAGCTCTAAATCTACAATTCTATACTTGTTTCATTCTGCAACAATTTTTACAAATCTTCCCATGCTTCTGAATTCCCCACATCCCTCATTTCTATCCACATAATAACATTACATTAATATATACACAATTCTCCAAATACAGCCATTCTCCAAATGATAGGTGCTCACTTTGTTTCCAGTTCTTTGCTACAACAAAACATGCTACTATAAATATTCTGGTTTATACTGGAACTTATTTTTGTCTTAGACCTCCCAGTAACAGGATCTCTGAGTCAAAAGGTAGGAACGGTTTAGTCATTTTCTTGCATAATTCCAAATTGTTATCCAGAATGGCTGCTCCAATTCACAACACCACCTGCAGTATATGAGTATGCCCGTCTTCCCACAGCCCTCCAACATTGACTGTTTTCCATTTTTGCCATCTTTACTGTTTTGTAGGGTGTTGGGTAAAACCAGTACTTGAATTTGGAGCAGTTATCCACATGGTCATTTATAGTTTTCAATTATTTTGAAAACTTCATATTAATAGTCATTACCTCTTAAAGAAGAATTTTTAATTATCTTCCCTCTCCCTCTTCACGTAGAGGAAAAACAGTCAAGTGAAAGAGTCAGAGTGCACTTGAAGTCAGAAGGCTGCACACAGATCTAGAAGAAAATCTATCTCCAGCCTAGAGGGAAGACATGGTGATCTAGCAAAGCTGGGCAACTGAACAATTCTATCTAAAACTCTTCACAGTATGACTCAGTGAATTCCTAGATACTCAGACTACTCATATTCAATAGTTTTTTTTTTTTTTAATTTTAATCCCTTGATAAACTGAATATAGATGATGTGGGGATTAGAGTTTGGAATAATCTTTGTCATTGTTTTCCTCCACTCACTGGAATGAATTGTTGAGAATAAAGACCAGGAACACATTTGTTGACAACACCCCACATGCAGTTCTATCGGGAAGGATCATCATTTATTAGCTTCTTACGTATTGCCTAAAAATACTAAGGACAAAACCATGATAGAACATGCCAGATTGTGTATAGTTAATTCACACATGTTTATGAAATGCAAGTACATTGTCTCTTACTAATTAAAGAGCTAAAGGATACTTGATTTTACAAGCAAGATTTTAGTTGACCACATAGCAGATCTAGATTTCAGCACATTTGCGAAAAAGTCTCTCAATCTATCTTTCCAGACAAGATGGAAGAATGTGGGTTGGATAGCACAAGAGGTGGACATATAATTGAGCATCCTTAAACAAAGAATATGGATTAATGCGTGGATATGAAGGGAGATCTCTATTTGCAAACAGAAAGCTTTGTACTGGATCCTGTCCCATATAAAAAGAATTTTAGATCCAAGAAGGTTATTAGAAGATCATCCAGTCCTTGGCTCTTTCTCTTTTCTCTCTCTATCTTGGATTATCACATCTGCTCTCACAATTCTAAGGATCCTCTATCTCTAAGTGGATGACTTCTAAATATAGACCTTCAGTCAAAAATTTCAACAGCTTCCCAGCACATCCACCTAGATGTTCCAACAGCCCCTGAAACTCAATACGAATTAAACTGAATTATCTTCCCCTCATTCTCTTCATTATTCTGTTGATGGTCCCAGACAACACAACTCAAAACCTCTTCCAAACTTCTTCCTCTTCCTCATTCTCTAATCAGCTGCCAACTCCTGTAGATTCCATCTTTGCAAATGCTCTTGCATACATACCCTCCTTGCTACTCCCACCACTCTGGTTCAGTCCAGAAATACACAAAAAGAGCCTAACAGTTGGAGGTCATTAAGCTCATTTTGTAGCTAAAAAGGAATTCTCTCTATGACATCCCTCCAGCTACCACTTAAAAAAAAAAATCTTTAGTGCCAGGGAATCCACGAGCCCATTCCCAGGGTCTCATTTTACAGATGAGGAAACTGAGGTCCAGAGAGGTTAGACAGTCACAAAGGTAAAAGGTAGCAGACTGGGATTCAAACCAGGCTCTATACTGTCAAATCAACTGCCCCGTCCTGTCTTCCTTCTACTTCTCTCTTTGGGCCAAGCACAACAAGTTCAATCCTTCTGCCATAATAAAAGCTAGCATATTTCTAAAGAGTGCTTTAAGGTTTGCAAAGCATTTCACATATGCTGTCTCCATAGATGAGATCACATGAGCCGGCCCTTCACATACTATTATTTGAAGACAGGCATAACGTGTCCCCCCAAAGTTCTCTCTTCTCCAGGAAAAATGTCCCCAAGTGTTTCTCATATAGCCTGTCGCTGAATCCCTTACCCATCCTATCTGCCCTTCTCTGGGTACTCTTGGCTCCCAGAACTGAACACAAATAATCTTTCAGATGTGGCCTGACTAGATGACAAGGGATCTTCAATAACCTGCTTCTGGACTCTGCTTCGCCCCGAGGAGTCGAAAATGTTCTTAGCTTTCCAGTTCAATCAAACTGCTGACTCACACCGAGCTTCCAGTGCACTAAGATCTGCTTGCAGGCACTATCTGCTATCTTCCATCACAGTGCACTTGTACAATTGATTTTTCAAAAAAAGACAAAAACAAAAAAAAACAAACCCAAAAAACAGTGTGGGTGTAGTGGAAAGAGGATCCGATTCTCTGTTTGAGAACTGAGGTCTGAAACCTGAGTGTGTTGTTTACCTTCAGTGCGACCTTGGGTGACTCCCTAAGCCTCTCTGGGTCCGAAGCCCTTCTTCTACAAAATGAGGTTTGGGCTTCTCTTCTAGTTCTAAGTCCTATGAACTAGGATTTTGCATGGATCCCAATTAAATTTAATCTGCAATGAGACTTAGCTGATAATCTATTCTAACTCTTGAAGGCTTTTGTCTCTTAATTCTGCCACTCTGAGAGGCACCATAGCCTAATGGAGAGGGAGCCAATGTCGGAGTCAAAAAGTTCTGGCTCTGATATATCCTTGGTTCTGTGACCTTGGGCAAACTGCGTAATCTTTCACTGACCCGTCAGGCAACTCTCTAAGATTATCAATTACAGAACAGTTGTTATTCTACCTTGGAGGGAGTTTCATTATCATGAAATCCCAACACTAATCAAAAAAAATTCGAGAACCCTCCCAATAAAAACATCTATCATTCAATGTGCTAGCTATCACTCCCAGCTTTACACCATCTATGCATTTTATAAGGAAGTTGTCTGTCTTTATCTATGTGGTTTATGTCTTCATCTGATAAAATGCTGAACAGTACAGGGTTAATGACAGATTCCTAAGACACTCTACTAGAGACCTCCCTCCAAAGTGAAATCCATCAATACATGACTACCTTTTGGGTCTGATATTCAACCAGTTCGAATGTGCCTATCTATACTATCATCTAGTCCACGTATCTTCAAATTGTTGATAAGGACTGTCAAATGTTTCATCAAATTACAGGTAAATGATGTCTTTGGTACTCCTCTGAGCTACCAGCTAAGCCAGTAAAGTAACCTCGGCAAAAAAAGGAAATTACATTAGCCTGGCATGACTTAATCTTAATGAACTTAAATTGGTTCTCAGTAATACCACTTCCTTTTCTAAATGTTTGCAAACCATTCCCTTAATACTAAGTTTCTAGAATTTTGGGAGGAATCAAAGCCAATCTTCATTGGCTTAGAAGCCCAAGTAAAAAAGGAAACAACTACTGCCCATCTCCCCAGTCAGATGAGACCAAAGAAAACCAGCTTTCCTGGCAATGAGAACTTCTGAATTCACTGCATCGAAGGAGCTCTCGGCAGCAAAGTCTGTTAACCAGTAGAATACAAAGTATCTTAAGGTGTAATAGTGAAGTGTAATAGAATGTTCAGAAACATAAAGTACTCAAGGAAGACAAGAATCTCCTGCGCAGAGAGTTTTGAAATGGGATCTGGACAACTCGTCACAGCCTGACATAAACAAGGCTTAACAAATCTGCTCTGGATTTGAAGCTAGCTACCTAGTTTAGGAGCCAGATAAATGTACCGAATAAACCACATTAAAAAGTGCTTTACCGTTTCAATCAATTTTTTTCATGTATTCCACTGAAGATAAAATCACAGCAACCAGAAATGAACACACTATTAGAGATGCGTTCTGACCAGGGCAGAATAGCACAGGACTAGTACCTCTGTAGTACTAGAGGAGAAAAGAGGAGGGGGGAGGGGAGAGAGGGAAGAAGAGGAAGAGAAAGGATGCAGACGAAGGAGAAGGGCGAGGGAAGAGGAAGGAAGGAGAAAGAGGAAATGGATCCAACTCAAGGTCAAACTGACCAGAAGACTGGAATTTTTACCTTGAGAGGAAATACGCTCTCCTTTCCCAAACTGTCCCACACTGAGATGACTATAATGGTGTCCTAATCCAAAGGCAGCATGATGGAGTAGAAAAAATCCTGTATTTGGTGTCAGGATAACTGGGTTCGAATTCTTGCCCGGCCCTTTACTCTGTGTGGTTCCAGGAAATTCACTTCACTTGTTTAACTCTTGCCAACCAGCATCTCCTCATCTGTAAAATGGGGGGATTGGAATGGATGTTCTCCAAGGCCTTTTCCAGTTCTAAGGTTTATGCTTCTGCTCTCCCTTTTCTCCAATCTAATGTACCTTCATGTAACTGCCAAACTCATCTTCCTAATGCACCTCTTCTTCTGCTTCAAAACCCTGTGTTCCCTTCACGTCTACAAAACATAACATAAATTCCTCAGGCTAGAATCTCTGAAGGCCCTCCAAAATCTGATTCCAAAGCTATTTCTACACTATTTCCCTTTCCACACTCTGCCTGCCAGTCAAAATGGACTCCAGTTATTCCCTAATCTGGTCTCTACTTCTGATACTGTACAACCTGACACCTGGAATGTGCACCCTATAGATAATTCTTTTCTCTAACATCTAGCTCAAGTACCACCTTCACCATAAGGACCTTCATGATCCTCCCATCCCCAATTTAAAGGGATCTCTCTCCTTATATTTTTCTATTACACTGGAGCTCTCTTTTGCTCTTATCATATTTTACCTGTGTTATACTTATCTGTGCACATAATAAATCCTCCCAATTAGACTAAAGTCCTTGAGGACAGGAACTACAGATTTTCATCTTTATATAGTTAGTGCCATGCCCAAGGAGGCATTTATTAAAAAGTTGACTAAACTGAATTTTGTTGAATAACTACCATTCCACCTCACATCCAGGAAACTGGCAGAGATGACAGCTAATGGAAATAGTCAGCCTTGGAGGAATTACAGAAAGATGGGTACACTAATACACTCTTAGTGGAGCTGTGTATTGGTGCAACCATTCTGGAAAACAATTTGGAATCACACTAAAAAAAAAGTGACTAAAAAGTCCATATCCTTTGACAAAGAGATTATATATGTGCACATATGTATGTACGTGTACACACACACACACACACACACACACACACACCAAGGAAATCAAAGACAGAAAAGAAAGGACCCATATACACCAAATCATTCATCTATTCATAGCATCTCCTTCTACGACAGCAAAGACTGGAAAATAAGTAACTGCCATTAGTGGAATATTACCATGCCTAAGAAAACAATGAATATGAAGGATGCAGAGAAGCATGGGAAGACATATAAAGTGATACAGAATGAAGTAAGCAAAACCAAGAAAACAATTTACACAATGACAGACAACAAAATAAATGGAGAGAACTGATCACTGTATAATTATAATGAAGAAGCTTGACCTAGGAGAAGAGTTGATAAAATGTGCTCTCCTTCCTTCTTTGCAGAGGTAAGGGACTATGGACTAGAATAATGCCTACACTGTCAGATGGTCGTGCTGGCTGGTTTTGCTGAAAAGTCTTCCCTCTCTTTATTCTTCATCATGGGGCACAGCTCACTGGGTAGGGGAAAAGTAAGGAGTATATTTGGAAATGAAGCTGATGTAAAAAACAAAATATATTAATAAAATATTTTTATAATACATATAAATCATAATGCTACACATTGACAAACAATTATTTCTTTCAGCAAAGACTACAACTTCTAGACCTGTAATATTGTTAATAATAATTTTCCCCAAGTTAAAGAAAGCAGAAACAATAGCATGTAAAAAGTAAACAGAAGACTCTAAAAGGCAGAAGTCTAAAAAACAGAAGATAGGTAAAAAGTAAACAACATACCTGAAAATAAAAGAACGCTTGGCCAAACCAATAATGCATTATGGTAATTTGAGCTGCATCGTGTTTCAAGGGCTTCCAGATGAATTTTGTCATTACAGCTTGAATCAACAGACTAAACACCAAAACAGGAAGATTGTGAGGTCGGAGCAACAAGGCTGCTAGGAGAACTAATCCGCTATATATTTCCCACAAACCTCGACTCTTGATATTGACATCTGCAGAAATGACTTGGGACTTAAGCAAGTCTTTGGTTCCGGTGAAAAGAATACCCAGAACAAAGACATACACAAAGCGAGCTTCAATAATTCCCCTAAAAGAGAGAGAACAAATTAGGTGTATTAGCATCTTTCTGTAAAATCCAAGTACTTACTTCCATATGTGGCATATAATTCTATTTGCATCAAAGCAAACAGTTAACACAAGCTAGTTCTGCTGGCTAAAACTCCATGGAATCAACTTCACTGCCCCATTGGTAGGGGACACTAAGAATAAGCCTTTGTGTGTGCATAAAAAAAGGAAGGATGGTATCCCACTCTATTCTAACATATCTGACAGTGCTCTGTGTTATCAGGTGAGATGGAAGGAGGGGGAGCCTGGAGTTTAAGATTCAAGGTAATATTTATGTGATTACAGCAAACCAAAAGCAAAGTTCCATTGGTTTGCCACGAGTAGTCTGAAAAATCACTATATTGGTTCCGTTATCAAAGGCACAATTCTGATATGAAGAACAAGATGCCTTAAACTATAATAAATGATGCAATTTCAGGCCCCTGGGTGAGCCACTGAATTACTAATTCTATCAGAATCACAGAATTACTGTTTTTCAACTCTCTAATGTACAACAAATACTATGGATTATAGCAGTGTTACAGCCATACCTCAGAGATATAGCAGGTTTGGTTCCAGATCAGCACAATAAAGCAAATATCACAATAATGCAAGTCACATGAATTTTTTCATTTCCCAGGACACATAAAAGTTATGCTTACAGTATACTGTAGTTTATTAAGTGGGCAATAGTATTTTATTTAAAATAAACATACATATCTTAATTAAAAAATACTTCATTGCTAAAAAATGCTAACCCTCATCTGAGTCTTCAGTGAGTCATAATCTTTTTGCTGGTAGAGGTCTGGCATCGATGTTGATGACTGCTGCCTGATCAGGGTGGGGGTTGCTGAAGGTTGGGGTGACTGTGGCAATTTATTAAAATAAGACAACAATGAAGCTTGCTGAACCGATTGACTCTTCCTTTCACTTGAACACGCAGAGGCCACTGTAAAGTTATTAACTGGCCTAATTTCAATGCTGTGTCTGAAGGCATTGGGAGGCCCGAGGAGAGGGAGAAAGCCGTGAACAGTCGGTGGGTGGGGCAGGTAGAGCACACACATTTGTCTATGAAGCTTCCTATCGTGTATGAGAGCAGTTTGTGGAGGTCCAAAACAATTACAATAGTAACATCAAAGATCACTGACAACAGACATAATGATAATGGAAGTCTGAAATATTGCAAGAATTACCAAAACATGACACAGAGACAGGATGTGAGCACATATTTGTTGAAAAAATCAAGCCGACAGACTTGCTCAATGGAGGGTTACCACAAACCTTTAATTTATAAAAGCACCCCCCCCATATCTGCAAAGCACAATAAAATGAGACGCGTCTGTAGTATCTTATAGATGGGGCAGCTAATTGGGAACACTTGAGTTTAGATAGTGCCTCAGACACTACACATGTGCGTGTGACCCTGGGCAAGTCACGTAACTTCTTGCCTCAGTTTCCTCATCTGTAGAATGGGGATAGTAATTGTAAAGCACTCAGCACTGTACCAGAATACAGTAAGTGCTATAGAAATGTTAGTTATTATTCAGAGGTTATCTGGTCCAACCTTTACCCAAAGCAGGAATCTTCCATAACATCCCCAAAAATGATGATCTGGGCTCTGCTTGAAGACCTCCTGAGGTGGGGAGCTCACTGCTTCCTAAAGCAGCCCATTCCGCTTTTGGACAGCTCTAGTTTTCCCAGAAGTCTTTTCTCATAACAAAATGACACCTGTCTCCCTGTAAACCCCTACCCTGGGCTGTAGTTGTGTCCTCAAGGGCCAAGTAGAACAAATCTAATCCCTCTTTCACACATAGAGAAATAACGTGAGTTAGTTATGTGGTAAAAGCAGAGGAGATGCCACAGAGGGACATCAGGGAAAAAAAAAAGGATAGGTCCACTTTAACAAGGGCACTGTCAGAAGCTGTCCTGGGGACAGCTAGATGGTGCAGCGGATAGAGCACCAGCCCTGGAGTCAGGAGGACCTGAGTTCAAATCTGGCCTCAGACACATAACACTTAGTAGCTGTATGACCCTGAGAAGTCCCTTAACCCCACTGCCTAGCCAAACAAACAAAAACATAAACAAAACAACAACAACAACAAAACCCCAAAAGGCTTCCTGGAAGAAGCAGCACTGTGGTTCCCAGGCTGCAGCAGCCTCCTCAAAGGGACCCTCTCCCAAAGAGCCCTAGGCATCCCAAAGATGCCTACCCAGCATCCACGGGCTCTGCTGTGGATAACCTCAGTCTGCTGCAGGGGAGAAGATGCTGCTTTTAGACCCTCCCCTCCCAGCTAGACTCCGCTGCTCCTCCTGCTGACCCATCATCTCTCTGGCCACTCCTAGGCTGAACTCCCTCGGTTTGTAGACCAACTGTGGAGTTGGAAACCAGACTGCTGCTGCCCCCTGCTGGTGCTGGGGACACATGCAGGTCTTGGCAGGCAAGTGCTGCCCTGCCCTGGTTAAAGCCATGTCTCTCAGAGCCCTACTTTACGTCAGGGACTGCTTGACTCGCCCACTTCTTAGTTCTTTACTCTGAAAGTCAGCCCCATCCAACCGTTTCATTTCAAAATTACTAAAAAAACCAAAATTCCCAAGAATGACCTTCAGTGGCACTCTTGCTCCTTTCTTTGTTAGGCAGCAGACTCCACAGGACACCCTGGCTTTTAAAGGCACCAGGGAGATTTATTTAGAAAAACTAAGGATGAGTCGGAGAGCCTTAACATATTCTTGCTTTATAGAAAGGGAAGTCATCCAGTTCATTCTCTGCCACCTGGTCCTAAAGGGATGGAGAGGCCGGAAACCTCTACATCACTTTCATCTATTAAATGTTTACAAGAAGTTATTGTTGAGGTGGGCACTGTGCTGATGACTTTGTGAGATCACGCCAAACGGCTAACTGAGGAGAACCTCAGCCAGGTCATAGATCCCAAGGCTTCCTGTTCAATACCAGCATGGGCCTCTAGTTTAGCACTTCAGAAATCAGGACTGGATGGGATTCCTTATTTTGTCCCCTTGCTCCCTCTAGGGAAAATATTATGAACACAAGGAGGCAGCAATTGTCTTCCAAGAGACTGAACTAAACAGCACAGTTAGGCCTGTGACTGGCCTGGCTGGTCGTCATTTCAACAAGGGATAAACAAAGGTGATTGTCGGAGAATCCCCTAGGATTTCCCAAAACACTGAACTTAAGACATACAACATCCATCGTGGCTTTCAACATAGAACGATTGTGAAGTCTGGTAGGAGGAAGGACCCTATACAGTCTTATTTGAATGTTCTAAAAACTATCAGAGATCACCAAGATCCCTTAAGATATATGTTTCTACATAATACCACCTACAGGAAGAATGTGGAAGGTTCTTTAAACTTGTAAGAAAAAAAAAAAAAGAGGCCCAGAAGTAGAGACCCAAGGTGAGGTCAGATAAATACATCAGCTGCTTCTGATAAAGGTGTGGCCTATCCATACCAAGCACTCTGAAGTGAGCCAAGGCTTTGCTTGGCTTCTTCACAACAAGCTTACGAAGGAGGTAGCGCAAGCAGGAAGACAAGCAACTTTTCTGGTCCACTAAGATCCCATTAAAGCCTACTAAGCTACCTTTCCCCTACTGGTTCACTGGCCTGAGGATGAACTCTGGAGGTTCTCAACTTCCTTACCTCCTTTTTAAATAAGTTTTAACTAGTTTATGAACTAGTTTAGAATGTGACCACATCTATGCATCATAGCAGCATTAAAGGCATAAAGAAAACAGAAAGTGGGGAGATGCAAAGACCTGTTAGAATACTATTATGATAGTGCAGGCAGAGGGCAGCGCGTGTTGTTTAAAGCCTCTCTACTTCTTCAGAGCCTTTTCTTCCATGGTTTCTTTCTTCGATAATTTTTATCCTATCAAGGAATACTTTCTCTTCTGATAGGGTAATTTGGTCTTTATTTCTAGAGGAAGCCCAAATGGTTCGATGCAGGTGTAATCTCTGCTACTTACTGGAACTGTTCTTCCGAATCTTGGGTCCTTGGTTGTGTGTGGCTTCCCTCACTGAATGCCCTCAAAACTTGCAGGGAGTTTGCTCTGGCTACCCGGTTTTCTGGCTTCTAACCAAGTGATTACAGGTCCCTGGAGCAGTCTTCTTATGGACTTCCTTTGTTTATCTGGTGCTAATATTCCCAGATATGAGAGCAATCAGTAATTAGCAAACTTCTGCCTGTATGTTAATTGCCACAGTGCTTTCATTAAGGCAATCATTGGCTTTCTGGATGGAGAAATTCCAAGCTGCCTTTCCCCCCTTCTGTTGGCTGGCTATTCTGCAGTAGGTTCTGTCCATAAGGGAGCTAAAATATAAGAAAAAGGTAAATAATCACCCTTAAATTTTTCCCTTTAGATTACTGCACTTTTGGGTTCCAAGTTCTCTAAAGTAGTCTAATTGTACAGGAAGAGGTCTTTACAAATGAACCACTTCTTCTCTGTCTCTTTTTCTTGATCCTTTTCCTTCTCCAGATTCCTTAAAATGGATATTCAGTTCAATAAATATTTATTAAAAGTCCTTACAAGGCACTTGCTAGGTAATACAAAATCAGAAACAAAAATCACCGCCCTCAAGGAAAATGCATTCTATTAGTATTCCCCAGAATTTACTGTACTTCGTTATTTGCCCTGTCTACATTCTCTTCCTTGGCAATTTTACTCACTTCCATGATTCTAACTCTCAGCACCATACAGATGACTTCTAAGTCTCTCTTCTTTCCAAAGCTCCAGACCTACATCCCCAGCTACCTACAGAACATCACTGTATGAATGCCCTGATGACACATAAAACTGAACATAGCTAAAACAAAGTATATCTTTTTTTTTTTTTAAACTAAGCACGCTTCTCCTCTGAGTAGAAGGATAGCAACTAGACTTTGCTGTGGATCAGACCACTGAAAATGTGCAGGTTTGCAGGATGTCTCTGAGTTCCTAGAATAACACAATACTCAGTAGTCTCAAGAAAAATGCAACAAGAGCAGCCCAGATCTTCCCACCACAAGTACCAAAGAGCCCAGCTCTAATATCAAGTTCAAAGTAAGGGTACTTCCTGACTTCTTGAGGCTGGAAGATTGGGCAAACAAAAAAAGAATCTCCCCAGAAAGAGCTGTTACGGTGGCAGGGAAGCTTAAGACACACACCCAGGAGTAGAGGATGACTCCTAAACATCTATATGCAAAGCTTCAGAGAAAACACATCTTAGACACAAACTCAACTATAGTGCCTGGAAGAGATGAAGCAGGAATTTAAAAAAGAATTTAAAATATTTTTATAAATGAAATTAGAGTACTCGAGGAAAACAGTGGAAAAGAGACGAGAGCTATGGAAGCAAGAACTAGAAAAAGAATGAATGGCTTGGCACAAGAGGTACAAGACCTTGTCCAAGCAGAACTCCCTGAAATTTTGAATGGACCAAACAGAAGCTAATGACTCCATGAAGCAACAAGCAATATTAAAACAAACTTAAAAGACTGAAAATATAAAAGAAAATGTAAGATATCTCACAACAATAAAAAACTGACCTGGAAAATAATCAAGGAGAAAAAAAATCTAAAAATCATTGTACTATTAAACACCATAACCGAAAAAAGAGCCCACACACCTTATTTCAAGAAGTCTTAAAAGAAAACTGTCCAGATCTCTTAGAACCAGAGGGCAAAGTAGAAATAGAAAGAATCTAACAGCCACTGGACTTCCATGACTCTGGAAGAGAGAGTGAGGCTTTAGCCTCACTTTGGACTTTGTCCAACTCAGCCTCACTTAAGTCCAATTCACTCACAAATTAAGACATCAACCTGGGATGTCACTGGTCTCCTTAGAAAATTAAGGATGAACAACAAACAGCAACGGGTGTGGGACACCTTTCACACAGATGAGGAATTATTTTCCTAGGCTCCAAAGAATGTTAATTTGCCCAAGGTGAAAGAAAGCCGGTCCTAGCTCAAAAGGTCTGGTCCACAGAAAGGTGATCAGAAAGGCAAAATGACTGCAGACCATTCCATAAAAGGGTAAGTTTAAAGAATCACAAAAGTTTAGCCTGGCAAAGAGGAGGCTCATCGAGGGCATGAAAGCTATCTCCAGATATTTTAAAAAGAGGAGTTAGAAATGTTCAAGTCTGCTTATCTCAGAGGCAAGATGAGAACCCATGGCTACAGCACAGAGGCATATTTTGGCTAAATATAAGGAAAAACTTCCTATAATTTGATCTATCTCAGAGTGAAATAGGTGCCTTGGGAGGCAGTAGGTTCCCTGTGGTAGAGGTCCGGGAAAGTATGTGGAACGGATCAAGATGCTGTAGCTAAGCTACAGGGCAGACCGGATGATGTCTAAGGTCCCAACTTTGAGTTCCTATGATCTACATCAGTACTTGTCCTATACATCCTCATCTATAGCAGGGCATCTGAGGCTCTGAATAGTAACCTTGGATCATCAAGGAAAGATTAAATCATGTTGAGAATACTTTGTTTTCTAAGGTAAGGAAGTGTGCTATTTCAGAAAGATTTCCAAACACAATTAAGATGAAGATTTGGGTACTTATCCTTCAATTATAGAGAAGTGCCTTTTCTCCAGACCATCTTACTCTCTGGATATTCTAGAATCTAGATAACAGTCAAACCTATACTATGGCAGGCTTGAATTCTGACTACTCAAATTTTCGGGTCAATTCAAGGTTGAACAGAAATCTCTCTCTCTCTCTCTCTCTCGATTCTATGGCATACCCTATAAATTGGGAGACTTTTTATACGTTTGTTTTTTAAATAAATCTTCATCAGCTGCCTTTTCCTCCTAAAAAGCAAAATGGTTAGCTGGGTTGCAGTCAATTAAAATTTTACCTTATTATAATTAATGAAAAACATAATACATGACTTTTAAGAACTAAATTGACATTATAAGCAACAACACAATGCCTTTCAGTACACAAGTTATTAAAAAAGATCTAAAACAAGATTTACATATCTGCCTATGAACTTACTTAGAAATATCTTTGTTATCTCGTTGCCATGGCAAAAAGACATTTCCAAATGCTGCTCGGTAGCAATAGACTCCCAAGAGCCCCAGTGCCATTGCTACTTTTGAAACAGGACAGCATCTTCTCTGAACCAGAATGAAGATCATGACAAGGGATAGAAATGCCAGAACAGAGAGTTCAGCTTTATGATCAGAACTGCAATGAAACAGAAAATGCCACAAATTATTGCAAAGTATAACCTAATTACTACATTTCTACAAATCTGTAGGAAGTTAATGGCTAAGATGCACATTTAAAATGCTTTCTTTTTTTCAGAATAAACTGTTTAGATTTTCTGTCCAAAACAACAATATCAAAAAACATAACCATATTTCTGTTCACTATTTCCTAAATAAAAGGTAATATTTATATATCACAGTAAATAATATAAAAATAAGGGAAACTCTTTTCTTTGGAAAAAACTTCAAAAATTGGAGCAAGAGTTCCATTCATTAAACCCTGAAGTAGAATCAATTGGAGATGAGGGAAGAAAAATGTCAGCTCCAACCTTGGCATAGGTCTCCCCTCCCTGCCCCTTATTCTGACTGGAAAAGAACCTCGCACATTTTAAAGGGTCCTGAGTATTTTGGCCTTCCCATCTTCCCATCATCTTAGTATTGCCCTAGGCCAACAGTAGTCTGCTGGAGCCAAGGATAAACTAGACATAGAAGATTCACCATGCTTTTGAGCACCCCATGAAAGGGAACTTCCAGAAACCAAGAACAGTGAGTCACCTTTATGCTACAAGTGCTCTCTCAAGCTTGAGCCCACTCTTCCTGGGACTATAAGTACTTGTGAGAGTGGGTGACACAGATTTTTGGATTTTTGTTAATGACTGCTCTTATTGTGCTACCTTAGTAAACACCGTTTTCTTAAAACAATTTAAGGCTGGCTGACTAAATGGTTCAACTGATAAATCTTGGGACAGGCTAAATGTTTCAACTGATGATCTTGGAGGGAGCACAATGATGGGAGTTAAAACCAATGGCATTAATCTCCCTCAACTCTTCAGGGGTACCCCTAGAACCTAAAGGGGGAGATAGAGCCTTGCTTTGGGACTTGACACTGGTCTATAAGAGGGGGAGTTGGGATAATGATCTTCAGAGCTTACATGGGCTCAGCAGAAACAACCACAATGTTTATCAACAGCATCCCCAACCTTTACGGACAAGTCAGGATGCAAAAGTTTGTAGTTACCTGGATATCTGAAGTTGCTAAATATAATTTTTCCCTTGTGGTATATATGATAGTTACGTTTCCAGACTAGCCCACAAAAGTCAAGTTAACTGGAATATGTCCATCAATAATTACTGTTAGATGCTATAGATATAAGTACAAAGAACGTTTCCGAAACCTGTGTGTATGATTTTGTATTTTACATACATATAGTTATAATAAATAGGAAGAATCCAAGAAAATGTCATTTATTCTAAATCTCAGCTTGCTACACTGTGTGGTACAGATAAACTGTGTGGTACTACTAATTATTTTGCCAATTATATCTCATTTAGTATGACCAAATGAAATTATTCTGTAAATCACAGTTGAGTAGTTTCCTTAGCCATAAAGTTCCCACAATCATGGGACACAAGTTGTCTACAGGTATGTAATAAAAAACCTGGATTGTCTGGTCTCTATACCCACAGAGATTTGCATTAATTTGTTCAGGACACTACAAAGTGAAAATCATTCCATGATCACCATGCTGACCTTAACCCTCACTACTTCCTAGTTTCTCTCTCTCATATAACAAGGTAGATTGAGAGGGTGGAAGGTTATAAAGAAAGACCTGAATACCAGATTATCACCAGCTCTGGTTACCATTCTCATTCTCAACTCATCAATATCTTCTAATAGATAAAGAGAGAGAAAAAAAAGAAAAGGAAGAGGAAGGTAGACCCAGCAGAGGAAGGGTGGTCCAGAGAAGTTTGTTTATACTGAGAAATGGGGGAACAGGATTAGGTTACAGTAGCCCCACTCTCATTGGCTCCCTGTTCCTGCCCACCTCCCTAGTCCAGCCTTTCCTTCTCTAAAGCACCCCTTATGCTGCCTAAGTTGCCAACTAAAACCTTCACTGCATTTTCCACAGCCAACAATGTAATTATCTCCATTTGTGCTCCGGGTTTTCGTTAATGACCTAATGAAACAAAAAGCCTTCATTAGCTCATTCCAGAGTCAATTAGCCAACAACCATGTGCCCTACATGGCTCTAAGTACAAGTGCTACAAAGGCCATGTCCATTTACGTGCCCAAATGGCCCAGGCAGACAACTCAAATGATCATAAGGAATTCAAGTAGGTCTCAGCATAATGAATACTATTATTAACGGAGATTCGTTCTACATTCATTCAACAAGCAATTATCAAGCACCTCATGTACTTCCTAGGCATTGTAGGAGGTGCTGGGAATACAAAGACAAAAATATAACAGTACTTGCCCTAAAGTAGTGTTGGAAATCCTACTGGCAGGAAACAACATGAGTATAGACAAGTAAATACAGTATGTTTGTGGGCATGCATTGTGCAAAGTAAATATGAAGCAATTTCAAAAGTGGAGGTGTCTAGCAAACAGAGACAAATAAGGACAGGTCTCATGTAGGAGGTAACATGAGTTAAGCCTTGAGGAAAACTTGGGATTCAAACTGGCAGAGGTGAGAAGAGAGTGCACTCGAGGCATGGGGACAACCTAGGCAAAAGCACAAATAGGGGACCAACGTCACATTTGGGAACAGCTTGACTGGAATGCAAAATGCAAGGGGAATAATGTTCAAGTGGAAAGACTGACTGGAGTCAAATTGCTAGGGGGTTTATATGCTAAACATCTGGGACACTGGGGCAGCTGGGTAGCCCAGTGCACACAGAAGCAGGCCTGGAGTCAAGAAGACCTGATTTCAAATCTAGCCCCGGATACTTATTAACTATGTGACCCTGGACAAGACATTTAAACTGTTCGCCTCAGTTTCCTCACCTGTAAAATGGGGATGATAATAGCATCTACCTCCCAAGGTTGTTGTGAGGATCAAATGAAATAACAGCGTGCTCAGCAGAAAGCCTGGCATATAGCAATAGTTATACTGTTAGGTATTAGGAGGAATTTATTTTCAAATGGAAACTACTGAAGCTTCCTAAACAGGTGAATGACATGGTCAGACCTGTGCTTTGAAAATATCAATCTGACAGCTGTGTGGAGGATAGCTTGAAGAGATAAGAGAATGGGGACAGAAAGAACAAATAGGAGGCCACTGCAGGAAACCACATGAGAAATGATGAAGAAATAAACTAAAGTGGCTATATGAGCAGAAAAAAAGGGGATGGATTTGAGAGATACTGTGGAGGCAAAATTAAAAAGACTTGGCAAGTGACTGCTACATTGCAGTGACTGGGGGGAGGTGAAGGAAAGGGAAGAAATGAGGATGAATCTGAGGTCTGAACTTGGGCAAGTACATGAATGGTGGTGCCCTTAAATAGAGACCGTCAAGCCTGAAAAAGGAAGGTTAGGGGGATGGAGAGAAGACAATGGTTCCGTTTTAAACATGAAGAGTTTAAGATGCCTGTAGGACATCCAGTTAGAAACGTCTAATAGTAATTCATGATGCAGGACTGGAGCTCAAGAGAGAAACTGAGACTGTATATAGAGATCTGGGAGTCATCTGTATTGTGGTTATTTTTGTTAGGTCGTTTTATAGTTGTGTCCAACTCCTTGTGGCCCCATTTAGGGTTTTCTTGGCAAAGATATTAGAGTGGTTTGCCATTTCGTTTTACAGATGAGGAAACTGAGGCAACCAGGGTTAAGTGTCTTGCCCAGGTCACACAGGTTTGGTAAGTGTCTGAGGCCAGATGTGAAGTCAGGAGGGGAGGCTTCCTGACTTTAGGCCCAGAACTATCCACTGCACCATCGAGCTGCCCCATCATCCATATAGAGATGATAATTGAACCCATCAGAACTGTGGGTCATAGAGAAAGAGAACATAGAGAGGGGCCCAAGCACAGCAGTACAAGCACAAATCAGAGGTGGGCTATGGATGATGAACCAAAAAAAGAGACTGAGGGCAGACATGCAAGAAGCAAACCAGGAAAGAGCAGGGTCTTGAAACTCCAGGAGGAGAGAATATCTAGGAGGAGAAGACCAAAATGCCAAGTGACTAACAGAGAGAGGTCAAGAAGGATGAGGGCTAAGAAGAGCTGATTGGACATGGCTGTTAAGTGGCTCCCTCTTCCCTCTAAGATTAGATACAAACTCCCTTGCTTGGCACTTAAAGACACGCACTATCTGGTCCCTTCCTAGCACTCCAGCCCTAGATATGACTCCCCTCCACTCGCCTGCTCTATGGTCTGTCCCAGTGGCCTATTTGCTGCACCTCACACACAACCCTCCACTGCCCGGTCTCCATGCCAAGAATGCTCCTCTTCCTCATGGCTGCCCTTGGAATGCCTGATTCCTTCAGAACTAAATTCAAATACCGCCTTTTACCTGGTCATCTCAGCTACTAGTGCTTTCTCATCTACGGTTGCTGTTCATCTCCTCTGCATGGGCCTCATACACAGCAGCAACGAAGCACCATAACATGATGGATAGAGTGCTAGACATGAAGTCATGAAGACCTGCAGTCAGTTCCTGCCCCCAATACTGACTAGCTGGGTGATGAGACAAATCATTTATCTCCTCTAAGTCTTAGCTGCTTTATTTCTAAAATGAGAATAATATACTACCTACCTGACAGAGATGCCATAAGGATCAAATGAAATAATACATGTAAAGGTTTTGCAAATTTTAAAGCTCTATATAAATGTGTACTCTCCCTCTCGAGACAGAGAGAGAGAGAGAGAGAGAGAGGGAGAGAGATGGGTATATGTGTAGCTATGTAGATATATATCTTATATCTATATCTACACACACACACACACACACACACATGTTGTTTCCCATGTTAGAATATAAGCTCCTTGAGGGCAGGGACCATTTTTTATTTCTATCTCAACTGCCTAGCACAAAAATGCTTGGTGACTAATTAGTTATTAGAAATCTTTATCCAAAATTAGTCACTGGTGACACTTCTATTGGAAAAACTGCATTTTACTTAAAACTGTCATTATAAAATTTGTGGAGTGATGACAAACCCAGCGTTAATAAAGCTAGTTCTAACTGAATAGCACTCAAGATGGATTTCTCCTCTAACATTACAGACTAAGGGATCCTCTTTCATCTCCTCTTATTTTAAATACTTTTTATATCAGTGTGAAGTTCTGATGTAAAGAATGTAAAAAATACGAATGAACTTTTCACTTTAAAGAATACAATAATTCAAGAGCAAAAGAATTTAACACTTGACATTCTTACCTGGTCAGCCAGTGGCCAAAGTCTGGTCGATGAGCCCACTGCACTCCAGTCTGATTTAATGAGCGGAGCAGTCTACAGCAAATCAATATAAGCCATGGACTGGCCAATCCCAACCACTTTTCATAGCCCTCTGGCAGTTCCAAAGAAGATATCTTGTGCATTTTGTCGTACTCTGGAACATCCACAGAGTCATTTCTGTATTGTAAAACTTTCTTAGTATCTTTTTGAAAATCTCCTTCCACAGCTAAATTATGATCAAAGTCCTTCCCAAGAAAGTGGTTTCTACATATTTCATGGCCCAGTGCTAGACAGAGAGTATTGACAAGAAAATACCAGGTTTGGTGTTCTTCTTCTATAAAACTGCTTGCACCCAAACTCAGAACGTGGCCCAGAGTTCCAAATAAAATAATCAGATCTAATCCCGACCAGCTGGAACCAGAGGCAGCTGAATTCTGTGGAAAGAAATGGGCTAACGTTAACGATCACATGAGAAGAACACTCTTACATGTATCATACGCTTGACACTTACCTACCTGTACCCCAAAAAAAGACTCTTTAAAAAAACAGGAAAACAGTGGTCACATTTCTCTTTGGATTTTCCACCACTTTTCTCCAAGAAGGTTAATTTTATTGTTGCTAAGTCAGTGCTTCAAGACTGTGCCTTTAGTGATACTGAACTTAAGCTAACTTACACTTAAAGTAAAACATGAAAAAAATCAACACTTCCAAGGGAGAGAACTATCTTGTTAAAAATATAACTGAGCACAGCAGTTAGGTGGCACAGTGGATAGAGCTCCAGTCTTGGAGTCAACAGGACCCGAGTTCAAATCCAGCCTCAGACACTTGACACGTACTAGCTGTGTGACCCTGGGCAAGTCACTTAACCCCAACTGCCTCACCGAAAAGCAAAAAAAGAAGGAAAAAATATAACTGAGCAAAGGTGGGAGCCTGTAGGTATAGAATACTGAATATACTGTTAGACTCAGGAAAGGGGTCAGTTTTCTCTGGGTAGGAAAGGGGGAACTCTGTACTTGGAACTGAAACTGATACAAAGACAAAAGATACCAACAAAAATGTTTTTCAAAAATTACTTCAACCATAAATACCTTTAAGTAAGGTTTATATGACCAAGGTAAAATGAAAATCATTTGGGAGACAGAAGCAAACCTTCATTTTTACCTGAATTTTTCCGTTCAATCCCACAAATATTTATTCAGTGTCTAAAATGGGAAAGACCGAATTCAACCATAAAAATTAAACAGTTTTTGCCCTCAGGTGCCTTACATTTGGAGAGGGGGAGGGGAAAGGCAGGGACAGGGGAGAGGGAAGGAAAAAGACAAGGCACCAATATGCACAGGGGTAAGTAAATACAAGGTAATTTGAAGGAGAGAGCACTAGCTGGAGGGGATGGAAAAGGCGACTCAGGGGAGGAGGGGGGAATGAGGCAGTGTTACAGGGAATGCTTCATTCACCAAGGAAGTAGCATGTAGAGCCAAATCCTGAAAGACAACAAGGATTCTGGGAGAGCATTCCTTTTTTTTTTTTTTGATTCCTCCACTTCCCAATGTACTTTATTTTTTTCCCACTTAATAGTATTTTATTTTTTCCAATTACATGTAAAAATAGTTTTCAACATTCACTTTTATAAGATTCTGAATTCCAATTTTTTTCTCCCTCCTTCCCTTCCCCCTCCAAGATAGCATACAATCTGATACAGATTATACATGTACAATGATATTAAACATATTTCCACATTAATCACATTGTGAAAGAAGAATCAGAACAAAAGGGAAAAACCACAAGAAAGAAAAAACAAAAAAAGTGAAAAAATTATGCTTTGATCTGCATTCAAACTCCATAATTCTTTTTCTGGATGTGGCTAGCATTTCCCATCATGAGATTTTTGGAATTGTCTAAGATCACTGTATTGCTGAGAAGAGCTAAGTCTATCAAAGTTGGCTATTACACAATGTTACTCTTAGCATCAGTTCGTGTAAGTCTTTTCAAGTTTTTCTGAAATCCACCTGTTCATCATTTCTTAATAGAAAAATAGTATTCCATTACATTCATCTACCACAATTTGTTCAGCCATTCCCCAATTCATAGGCATCCCCTCAATTTCCAATTCTCTGATACCAAAGAAGATACCAAAAAGATCCAATTCTTTGATACCAAAAAGAGCTGCTAAAAATGTTTTTGTACACGCAGGTCCTTTTCCCTTTTTTATCATCTCCTTGAGATACAGACCTAGTAGTGGTATTGCTGGATCAAAGGGTATGCAGTTTTATAGCCCTTTAGGCATAGTTCCAAATTGCTCTCCAGAATGATTGGATCAGTTCACAACTCAATCAACAATTCATTAGTGTTCCAATTTCACCACATCTTCTCCAACAATTATCATTTTCCTTTTCTGTCTTATTAGCCAATCTGATAGGTTTGAGGTGGTACCACAGAGTTGCTTTAATTTGCATTTCTCTAATCAATGATTTAGAGCATATTTTCATGACTATAGATAGCTTTAATTTCTTCATTTGAAAACTGCCTGTTCATATCCTTTGACCATTTATCAATTGGGGAATGACTTGTATTCTTATAAATTTGACTCAGTTGTCTATATATTTTAGAAATGAGACTTTTATCAGAAACACTGGCAGCAAAAATTGTTTCCCAGCTTTCTGCTTTCCTTCAAATCTTGGTTGCATTGGTTTCGTTTGTGCAAAACCTTTTTAATTTAATGTAATCCAAATTATCCATTTTGCATTTCATAATGTTCTCTATCTCCTGTTTGGTCATAAATTCTTCCCTTCTCCATAGATCTGACAAACTATTCCTTGTTCTCCTAATTTGCTTATGTATCATCTCTTATGTCTAAGTCACATTCCCATTTTGATCTTATCTTGGTATACGGTTTAAGATGTTGGTCTATGTCTAGTTTCTGCTATACTAGTTTCCAGTTTTCTCTGGAAGAGTATTCTAGGCAAGGAGACAGTTTGTGTAAATGAACAGAGGCAGGCACAACCGGTAGTCCAGTTTGGCTAGAATATAAAGGGCATGAATTATTCAGCTATCTCAGATGAAAGTAATTTGGACAGAGCCTGAAATATTCAGATAATTGCCTCAATTCTCTACTTCATTTAACATCTGACATTAGAGGCTTCAGGTTTTCCCTTACTAATCTTGTTTAGAAACAAAAAGCAAGAATTGGCTCTTTCCCTTCATTTGTAAAAGGAGAAAAAAAGAGGGGTCTGGTAGTGGTCAAAAAATAGTCATAATACACATTCTTTCTAATTCTCCATAGACTGTCAATTGCCACCTAACTTTTAGAAATCACGGATTCACAATCTCAGAGTTGGAGGAGAATTTAAAGACCATTGCTGCACAATAATGACCTTGGCAACATTCCTAACAAGTAAGCGGTCATTCAGTCTTTTTTGTTTTTTTATGACCTGCAGCCACAGAGAACTCACCACTCCTCAGGCAGCCCAACTGAATTTTAGATAGCTCTAATAGTTAGGAAGCTTTTTCCTTACATCAAGCCTAAATGTGCCTGTCTGCAACTTAGGATCAGACTTACAACTGAAAGGGACCACAAAAGTCATCCAGTCCACTCCCAATTTCACAGATCAGGTTCAGAGAATGTAAGTAACATTCCCACAGTCACGTTGGTATTAAGTGGAAGTACAGGGATTACAAAGTCTGGTCGTGTGACTCCACACCCAGCACTTCTGGTACAGGTGCTTCCTTGCTCCTGATAATGCCGTTGGGCCAAGCAGAACAAGTCCAATCCTACTTTCATGTAACTGCCTCTCAGACACTTGAATGACAGCTACCCTGGCTCTCCCAAGGCTTTTTTTTTTTCTTCTGCAAGTTAAACTCCCCAAGTTTCCTCAATCAATTGTCATGAAGAATGATCCTGAAGGCCCTGAACCATCTGACTGTCCTACGGATCTTTTCCAGCTGATCAGTGTCCTTTTTAAAACGTGGCATCCAGAACTCAACAAAGTTCTCTCAGATATGGTATAGCCAGGGCAAGAACAGTGAGGGACTGTCATGTCTACCACGTCTCTAGTCTTGACCACAATGCTTCTTTTATTATCTTGGCTTTCCTGGCTGCCCTGTCACAAATGTTCACTAGTACTGAGCCAGGAGTTCACTAAAACTCCCAGATCTTTTCCAGATGAACTGTCGTCTAACCACACCTCCTTTATCTTGTACCTGTGAAGCTGTTTTTTGAACCCAAGTCTTACATTTGGGTGCAAAGTGCATGCAAAAATGCTCATCAATGACTAGATATTGTCAATATATTGCAATTCTGACATCAAATGACCAACTTCTTTTAATGGAATTGCATCATGATGAAGGTCCTAGAAAAGAATGTGATCATATCATTCTGAGTATTTCCATAGTCAGTATGTCCCTCCACCTTGCAGAGTTTGGCTGCCCTTTCCAGTTTCATATCTACACACTTCTCTGATCTGAACCAGGCTTCCACACAGATGAAAGACCTTTGCAGCTGACCCAGGGCACTGTAAGAACACATCAAAACCACATTCAGGGGCAGAAGAAAATGACAATTTGCCCAGAACTATTAAAAACCAACAATGGAATGCCTTCCATGGCATTAGGACAACCTATACTCCACTGAAAAGGAATATCAAAATCAACACTTTCATAATTTATAAAGTAATTCCACTTAAAAAATGTTAAATGTCTTATCACTTGGCACAAAGTTCAATTCTCCAGCCTATGCAGGTGCTATGGCAGCAGATCAGTCCCTTCTCTGCTATATCCAGAGAGACCATACATCAAACCCCTCATCCTCAGACAGCCCTGGCCCCGAAATCAGGTAAGGTCTAGGGTTAACAGAGAGGAAAAGGGACAAGGCTGTACATTATATGTCTTCACTGATCTCAAGAGAGCTGCTGCTTGCTCCCTATGTCTTTAAAAGGGAGCAAAGTGATAGCATCTTCTAGGGTTGCACCACAGTGAGTCTAGGAAGCTATCAACAGACTTTCTCCTTCTTCTGAACAAGGATGGGGATCACGGGGACTAGTCTAAGAGAATGTGGAAGATGTTCCTTCTCCAGTACTCATATAGTAACACATCTGTCCCCAGGGCATGAGAGAAGTAAGCTTCTTAATAGGGACCCAAAGAGAAATAACAATGGTTGATATTTACATTTGCATCTTAAGGTTTACAAACTACTCACATACAACCTCTCAGCTGGTTCTCACAGTAACCCTCTGAGGAAGATTCTACATTACAGATGTAGAGATAGGCTCAGAGAATGTGACTGGAATACTGTCACAGAGCTAGTTAGCACTAGAAGTGGGAGCTGAGGGGCAGCTAGGTGGTACAGTGGATAGAGCACTAGCCCTGGATTCAGGGAGGACCTGGGTTCAAATCTGGCCTCAGACACATAACACTTACTAGCTGTGTAACCCTGGGCAAGTCACTTAACCCCACTGCCTAGCCAAAAATAAAAAGAAGTGGGAGCTGAAGCCAGGCTCTGAGTCAGAAGGCAGGGTGGTATAGTGGTTAAAGCACCAGGCCCTGCAGTCAGGAAACCTGTATTCATTATGTAATCCTAGGAAAGGGAGTCCACTTCTCTGAGCTTGTTTTCTAACGTCTAAAACAGACATCATAATATTGGGACTACTTACCTCAGTGCTTTGCAAACCTAAAGCACTGTATGTTCAAAGGTTCTTGCTGCTTAAATCTCGTGTTCTTTCCATTACACCCTCCTGGCTCTTTTGCTACTTACAGACAAAATAGGAGTTCTTCTAAGGCTATATGAATATAGCCTCCAGCTGGTTTCTTTCTTTCATGTTAATGATCAATCTCGGGAAGCATACATCCCCTAAAATGGCCCAAAGTCCCAGGTCCATCACACAGTGCTTTGTTTTGATCATAAAGAAAAAGCCTGGGGGCAGGTAGGTGGCGCAGTGGATAGAGCACCGGCCCTGAAGTCAGGAGGACCTGAGTTCAAATCCGGCCTCAGATCACACACTTGACACACACTAGCTGTGTGATCTTGGGCAAGTCACTTAACCCTGACTGCCTCACTAAAAAAAACCAAAACAACAACAACAAAAAAAAGCCTGAATAGTCTAGGGATAAGTGAAAGAACTCTAAAGGCCTAGAAGCTCCAAGAAAGTACACAATCCAGCTCCTTTCTTCAAGGAAGGTCAGCACCTTTGCCATACACAACAGATGGCTGCCTATTCTATTAGGGAAAAAGATAATGAAGTCACAGTCACCTAAGATGACCTGTGAAGAGGCTGCACAATCACAGAACTGGAGGTTGGGGGGCGGGGGGAAATACCAGGGGCAATCTACCCAAACCCATCCTTTATAACATACCCAAAACAAATGAACCAGCTTCTACCTGAAGACCTCTAAGGAAGGGCAACCCACCCCCCTGAAACTGAGCCATTCTACTTTTTACAGCTTTAATTATTAGGAAGTTGAATTGTTAGGTCCTTTTTTTCTTAGTCAATCCACTATAAACACAGGAAGATGATCTTATACCAAATCACTGAATGTCAGAGCTGAAAGAAATGTTAGGGATCACCTTGTCCAATCCCCTTATTTTACAGAGGAGGAAATAAAGACCCAAGAAGAGTTAAGTGATATGTCCTTGGTCAAAGAGCTTTCAGGTGGCTGAGCAGAGACTAGAAGTCTCTTAGACCAGTTCTCCTTTCATAATCTTTTATCTGTGGAACCTGAATCCAGACTAAGGTACACTCCTATTTATGGTCCTTTTTGGACACTGTTTCAGACACACTTTTATACATTAGTGTATGTAAAACAATGTTGTCAGAGTCTGACATTTTATCAGTAAAGGTAGATTTTCTCCAAGGCTTCTCTCTGTTTATCCTAATCTCTCATTCATTCTCATAGTTTCAAGGATGACTTTTACAACTACTTGCCCGACATTTCCACGTGGGTGTCTCACTGTTGCCTCAAACTCAACATGATCAAAACTAAACTCGTGATCTGTGTCCTTAAACCAGTTTCTAAACTCCCAATGTTTGTACATACTTTCATTCCCTTAGGTTTCAACCTGGGTAATTCTCAGATTCATTCCTCTTCTTGAACCTCTACACTGAGGTAACTACCAAATTTAGTCAATTTTTTCCTAAAATATGTCTCACACCCATCGTCTCCTCTCCCTCCACTGTGGCCATCTTGGTCCAGACCCTCACTATTTTGGACCTATGTTCCTTCGAGAGCCTTCTTGCCTGAAACTCTTCTCCACTCAATTCATTCCCTGAACCACCACCAGACTAACATAACTAAAACACAGCTTTCACTCTGACTTCCCTGCTCCAGAACCTTCTGAAGTTTAATGGCTCCCTACTTCCTAATGCACTAAATTTTAACCCTAGCATCTCAATTTCATGGGCCACGATCACCTAGTCCAACTCTACTTATCTTGTTTCCCAAGACTCCTGAACATGAACCTGCTGCTCTGGTAAAGCCAGTCTCTCCACTACCTAGATACCTGTTGATTTTCATTTCTGTCTCCACACATCCTTCTCTCTGTGCATGAAAGAAATTGTTTCCACTCCAGGAATGCCTTCTCCTCTTCTACCAGTGACTAGATCCTACACACCTATCCTTAAAGGCCCAGCTCAAATCCCATTTCCCTAAGAAGGTCTACCTACTTAACTCTCCAGTCCCGCTACTTTGAATTCCTACAGTAAGTAGGTAGTCTATACCACATTGTTCACCATTATTTCAAGTATTTTAGTCTCATCTCCCTAGTTAAACTATAAACTCCTTGGGTGCAGGAACCATATCCATTTCTGTATTACTCTCAATGACTAGCACTCAATATGCCCTTAAATTGCACCAACTAGGTATCTGGATTTTTGTTAGAAAGTCAATAGTTTTCTGAAATTATAGTCATCAAGCTGGGCTCCAAAGAAGGAACAAGAAAGGATAACTCTTCCAACTACATTGGAGAAGTAAGGGGTCCACGGGTGTGAAATGTTGCATGGAACACCTGACTTTTTTGATATGTTGGTTAGTTTTACAAACTTTTTTTCATTTCTTCTTCTGTTTAAATTCTTTTTTTTTTAATGACTCTCTGTGAGAGGATAAGGGAAAGAATAGAGCAAAAAATGTAAGTGATATAAAAACAAAAGATATCCATAAAAACTTATTTTTTAAAAAGCCACAGTCTATAATTTTCAGCATAACTACAACAGGTAATAAAAAGCATTCAATTTGATAATTCCACATTTCTGAACTTGAGGATATTCTGAAACGACAGAAGCAAAATACTGCTTTAAGACATGGGCCACAGGGCAGCTAGGTGGCGCAGTGGATAGAGCTCCAGCCCTGGAGTCAGTAGAACCTGAGTTCAAATCCAGCCTCAGACACTTGGCACTTACTAGCTGTGTGACCCTGGGCAAGTCACTTAACCCCAACTGCCTCACCAAAAAGCAAAAACAAACAAACAAAAAAAAAGACATGGGCTACAAGGAAAGGCAGACATGAAATTTTTAAGACTATATCTTACTGATCCCATTGCAGGTCATATAACCTCAAAGACAAAAAGAAAGCCCCCGTATCTATAGAAGCATTGTGGATGCTGACCAACTGTGGAACTGTGGAACAAGTCATGGTGTATGAATGCAATTACTGTGCTGTGAGAAATAACAAATACAATACAAAGAATTCCAGGAAATGGGAAGATCTGTATGAACTGATGCATTAGGACAATAATTTGCACAATCACCACAATAATTTAAAGGCAAAACAACTTGGGCAGACTCCGAAACTCTAATCAATGCCATGACCAATCATAACTTCAGAAGTGGATGAGGGAGCACATGCCTCTTGCTTCTTGGCAGGGAATGGAAGGACTATAAGTACAGAATGAGCTTTCCATTTTCTGACAATACCAATTCACTGATGTGTTTTGTTTGAGGATACTTATTTGTTATCAGGGATGGGGAAGCAAATCATAGTGAGAGAGATGCTCCAAAAAGAATCAACAAAACAAAAAATACACAGGAAAAAACAAGTTTAAAAGACATACACTGGTGGGGCAGCTAGGTGGCGCAGTGGACAGAGCTCTGGCCTTGGAATCAGAAGGACCCGAGTTCAAATCAGACCTCAGACCAAATACCTGACACTTACTAGCTGGGTGACCCTGGGCAAGTCACTTAACCCCAACTGCCTAAAAATAAAAATAAAAAAATTTATTAAAAAAAAAAAAAGACATACCCTGGGCAATTTCACTGCTAACTTGCTAAATTTAATATGTACTTTTAAAAAACAAAATAGAAGTTTATGGTTTCCCATATAGGACAGGGACTAGGCAGGAAGTGAACCTGTGATTTCATCAGTAGAGGGAATGCAGAGAGGAGGAGACATGGCACAGGAGCTAGAGAGCCAGCTTCATTAAGGAGGGTCTGGGTTAAAGTCCCACATCTATCACCTACTGCCTGTGTGACCCTGGACAGTTAATGCTGGAAGCGACTCTCTTACACTCTACGTTGCAAAGAAAGCACCATCCTGCAATGGCAGAGGGAATTTCCGGAGTCCCCTACACCAGTGAAATCACAGGTTCACATACATTCTGTTTTTTGTTCCTTGATGCTTAAGTCCATAATTAAAAATAAAAGAAAAAAAGAGAAAAATATCAAATATGAGGAACAGAGAAAAACATGGGGAGACTTGTTTGAATAGATACATAGAAAGAACAGAATGAAGAAAACAATGAACAAGATGACTAAATGATATAACTGAAAAAAAATACTAAAAGAAAACACTGTTTAAGTGTCTTGACCAATTTTGGTCCTGGAGATGAAAGGACACACACGCCTCCCTCTGTTCCTTGCAGAGGTGGGCAAGCACAAGTGAGAAATGTTTCACACGCTGCCAGATGTGAGCTGACAGACTTCGCTTCATTCTTTTTTCTCTGTTCCAAGGGAAAATTCACTAGCTGAAGGAGGGCAAAGATAGCTAGAGGAGAGTATACCTGGCAATGACTGTGATTCAAAAAACCAAGAACATCAATACAATTTTACTAACAAAACCAAAAAAGGAATACATCTCACCTTAGCTGGAAGTTTGACATTCTCAAATGTATTTGTGAGAACAGACAATATCACACAGAGAAGTGCGGAAATCAGCATCATTACCCCAATGGCCATCAGCCAAGAGACACCACAAAAGTAGCATGACCTCTCAGCCGAGGTGCACACGATGACGTGGACCGCAGAGAGAACGAGGACCGTCAAGTAGAAGAGCAGGGAAAACAAGGAAGACCACAGTGGAATCTCAAATTCAGCCTTCTGGCACAAGGTTTTTGGGGTACTGAGCAAAAGCAGAATCAGAACCTAGAATGGAAAATTGCAAAGTATCATCACACACTAATTTTGAGATTCTAAGAAATCCATATTTAAAATAGATAATGTACTTCTTGGGCCCTTGTTTATTCCAGGAAGTACACATAACACTTAACATAGGGAAATTTACAACTAACTATAATGATGCACAACTTGTTTCTCTGAGCATCAGCAAGCACTGATGCTAGGAAGTTAAGGAGGGCAGGTCAATTGGGGGTAAACATCTCCTAGCCTCATCCTCTCATCTCACTAAGTAACCAAGTCAAAGGGAATCATTTGGCACCTGACCCATGCCCAGAGCTGATACTGTGTAAAGATCAGGAAAGCCAAGGGCAAGGCCAAGAAACTGGGAAAAGGTTGGTTTCTCATGTTTTAAAGGACAGACAAGGATGATTCTTTAATATGTCATCAGTAAGTAATTTCATCCATACAGCTACTGCACATTTCAGCAAACAGTCTTTTAATCACCTCATGGTCAACCTTCTGATGATGATACAGCTTTCCAAGCTTAACCAGGCTGGTTCACAGAGATCAAATACAGCCTGTGACAGGGCTTGCACTCAAAGATGCTCCAGTTTAGAGGAACCTGTCAGAGAATGCACTGTGCTGGTGCCTTCTGAAACAGCTCGCACCTTTCCATACTACGATGGGGCACTGGAGGAGCGCTGTAGTGGAAGACACAAGATCTGGGGGAAACCCAAAGCACTCCAATATTTTGATGGACAGAGCAGAGCTATATAATGCTGGTCTATGACTATGATATTAACAAATAACAATCCATACCTCTAAGACTATGACAGTCCCAATCATCATTGAGTACATATCATACTGGGCTACTTGTTTGCTCAGTGACATACTCATGGTCTTCAAAGCATTTAAATACTGCTTAAGAACTTTTCTGCCAAGGTTTAAAAGGACTTCTGAATTATTTCCCTCCAAGTAGAGCTTGATCCAATTCCCATGCAACTTTTCTGTTACTTTAAACTGCTGAAATCCAGGATCTAAAATGAGAAGGAAAAAAAAGTTTTAAAACAGAAAATTATAATTAGATTATGATATAATTATAATATCTTCAAATTCTTACGTCTGACAACTGGAAAAGTCATTTTAAAAACTGATACTTCATGTAGTTTAATGGAAACTGGTTGTTGTTTTTTTTAAAACATACATAATGAAAATCTAAGACATCTCTGCAAAAAATAGCCAATGTGGTAAACACTTTAGTTTTTAATCATATTTGTTTTAATATTTTCCCAGTGAATGCTTTTCCAGACAATAAAGTTAAATCTGAAGTCCCCAAATAATGTAGAGCTCAACAAAGAATCTTAAAGTTGGAAGAAATCTCAGAGCTCAGAGAATCTAGTATCAATCCCTCCCTACAACATCCTCAACGAGTACTTAGCCAGTCTCTTCAAGAGCACATCCACTGATAGGAAGGTCATTACTTCCCATGGTAATCCAGAGCAATGAGTGTTAATCTCAAGGAAAATAAATTGTACAAATGGAGGAACACATTTTAGTAACCTCTGACCATGGAAGGGAGAGGGAGAAAGGAATAAACATTTATATGGTGCCTACTAATGGCTTTTATAAATGTCTCATTTGATCTTCACAGCAATCCTGTGAGGCAGGTGCTATTATCATCCTCATTTTATAGTCAATTTACACTGCTTCTCTTCTTCTTATTGGTGGGCACCCTTTATAAACTTATCATTCAGAAGACAGCTTTCCATATGCTGTGATAGACTTTTTACACCTCTGGAAGCTGGAAGAGTTTCAGTTTCTGCAGTCTAAAAAGAATGCTCATACTCCACTAACTATTACTGAAGCTGAGAAAATCTCAGTTTGCAATGACCTAAAGGTATCCAGACCAATCGCCTGTCTAAATCAAAATCCCCAACAATCTGACATCCAGCCTAAGCCTGAATCTGTTAAATGATGGTGAATGCACCACCATGTAAAAAAAGGCCATTAAGGGGCAATGAATAAGAAATATCTTCCCAAGACTAAGCTGAAATCTATACCCACAGAATTTCTACCCAACTGATTCTGGTTTTCTCAACTGGAGCATAACAAAACAAATGTATTATATCTCCTACGTGTGTAGGGTTCAAACACCTGTGGAAAGTCCTCGTATCTTGTCTTCAATTCTGCCTTTTCTAGGACAAAAACTCCTAGTTCTTTCAGCCAACCTTCACTGTTTGGTTTTAAGTCTCTGCCACCACAGTGATCACCTTCCTTTACATTCACTATAGTTTGTCAACATCCTCTTAAAATGTTGTTTCCCGCCCCCCCCAAAAAAAGTGGTCCCCAGAAATGGACACAAGATTTCAGCTCTGACCCAGGCAGGGGACAGTGGGCCAAATACTTCCCTCACTCAGAATGCTAAGCTTCTACTAATGCAGTCTAAGATTATGTTAGCTTTTCTGAGAGCTGTCAAACTGCTGGCTTATCTTAAGGTTGCAGTCATAAAAACAGCCAAGTATTTTCCCTAATGAAATACTGCCAAGCCATCTTTCCCTGTCCTGTACTTGTACAGAAACTCTGAACCTAAACTGAGGATTTTACATTAGATGCTATGAAACTGAATTCTGTTAGCATCTGCCCATCATTAGTTTTAACTTTCTAAGACCCTTCTGGTTCCTGATTCTGCCACTCCAAGTAGAAATCACATAATTTTAGACAGAAGGAAACTCAGGGGTCACTTAGCCCAAATCCCACATGACATGCCAATTCCTTCTGAGACATTCCTGAGAACTGATTAACTTGCCTCCACTGGAGCATTTCCATCATATTCCAAGGCAGCCCAATTCCATGTTGGGCATGTCTAATGGTTAGGAATGAAACGGTTGAAATAAAATCCCTCTGGCCCAAGCTCTGCCCACTGAGAGAAACCAGATCAAGTTAAATCCCACCTTCTACATCAACCTTTCAAATACTTGAGGTCTACCATCACGTCCATCCTAAGTCTCTTTTACTCTAGGTTAGACACCTCCAGCTCCTTCAACGAATACTACACAGCATGATTTCAAGTTCCTTTACCACCTTGGTTACACTGTTTGGGCCTGCTCTAGCTTGTCTCACCGCTCCTAAAATAAGGCACCAAACTGTGGGTTCCCTTGTGACCGACATGATACTTTCACGAATGTGGCCTAAGATCTTACCAGCTTTGGCTGCTATATCACAAATACAATGATTCACATTCATCTTATGGTCTGTCCATTAAATATATTGGCTTTTTCACATCAACTAGTGCCTAGTCACATCTGCCCAACTTTGTACTTACGTATTAGATAATATAATCTCTAGGACATTTGACTTTATCATCCATATTAATCATTTCAATGACCTGGGATTTCATCAGTATAGGTATTCCTACAGGTATGCAACTGCAGAGATTCTACTCATCTGTGACTCAATAGGTCCTCAAGAGTTACTATGGTTAAAAATTCCATCACTTTTCAGTCAACCCGCAGAAGTGCCTCTCCGGACTTAGCTAGCCTGACAAACGGGTGCCAGCCCCCGGGGTCCTCACGGCAGGACTCTGTGCTCTCGTAGCCCGGACTTCACACCACCCCTTCACCTTCACACCACAATGAGGCTCCACGAGAAGGTTTTGGTGGTGGTCCTCAGTCTTTCCCTTTTATTGCTATTAAAATTCATCTCATTAAATTTGGTCCATTGCTCCAGCCTGCTGGTATCTCCTTGAATCAAAATTCTGTTACTTAATGTATTAGGTATCTCTTGTATTTGCATCATCTGCAAAGCTAACACCTACACTGCCTTCCTCCAACTCATGGATAAAATTCTTAAAGGAAGTCAGGCCAAAGACAGGAAGCTAGTACCACTCACTTTGGGTTGGCATAGTTCTGTTAGTCAATACTACTTGGGGTTAGTTTGGTCAAACTCTAAAAAGTAAGGGCTAAGCTCTCCCTAGGCAACCACTCCCAGCAGTCAAAATGAACCAATGTCACTGTGATGCTTTCTTACAGAGGGACCAACTAGGGGCAATTATGTATTATATAGGGTGTCCCAAAAGTCTTAGTGAAGTTTTAAGTTTTAATAGCCTAAAATTACACTAAGACATGGGAACTCTGGGAGCCTGGGCTGCTCCCCAGCTCATTTTTTGTAGGAGGCAAAAAAGCAGATCTAATCTCAAGGACCATAGACTAAAGTAGTAAGTGTTAACCACGAATTTGTCCTAATATCCAGGTTAACTACGGACTTTTTCTCTAGACTCTTGAGTCCTAATCAATCCTGGTGCTTTGAAATAAATCTGTTATCACCAACAAAAAATACTGAGTATGTCTAGCAAGATTTACCAGCCATATCAGTAATTTATATTTTTACCTTAGGCACTTCAGTTACATGTTTTTTAATTCTCTCTACTATCTCTTTATCTGTCAGATCATAGATTACTAGTAGGACTCAAATGGTTCTAGATATTTAAAGATAAAAACAATGACCATAATGTGACCCACCTTCTTGTCTCCCAATTGACTTAGTCTTCTCTGCAGACAAGTTCCCTTTCCCCTCACCCTTTTCCCCACCTATTCTTTGTCCCTCCACTAACTTCTATTCTTTTTTCTCTTTCCTTTTCTTTATTTGGTGCTCAACAGTAATAAAGTTTAAAAATTGCTACAATATGCCTTACCCACTCTAAGAGTAGCAAACTACTTTATTAGGCATATAAAAATTCATCTTCCCATTGGTTATTCCCTAAACACTGCCAGCCAACTCACATTAAGCACCACAGGGAGAAAAAGAAGGCCTGGTAAAACCTTCCCAGAAGTGACCCTGATGTAGATAATCTCATGCACAAATTTTGCTGATAGGAAGCATGGCAGTTTAACAAAAAGAAGGCAGCAGCAGCATTTGCATACAGGAAAACAAATGACTATGCCTCATTTCTATTCCCTCGGCCTCATTAAAAAAAACCACTTTAGGAAAATGTCTGTGTGCTCAAAGGGAAGAGCAGCTCCTAAGAGAGAAGACGAGAGACTTGCCTTTTTCATACATCGGCACATTCTCTTGCAGCAGTCTGCTGAGCTGTACTGAATTTAAGTGCAGGAACCTCAGCTGCTCTCTCATTGTTGCTCTTTCTACAACTGGAAATAACAGGCTCCCCACGCTATTTTTTGGAATCGGCAAACCAAGGCCCACTGCTAGTGTGGCAGCCAGGTCAGTCTGCTGGACGTGCTTTGGAGGTTGGAAGTTACCTAGAAAAACGAGAAAAAGAGTTTCTTACTCAAGGTAGTGTGACATCAAGGAATCAGCCCTGAACCCAGAACCCTCACACCATCTCTTGGACTAACCAACTTTATGAACTTGGGCTGCTCTCTGGAGCTCTGGGGCCTCAGGGGCCCCATGTGTAACAGAAAGGGGCTGGGGGAGATGATGTCAAAGTGCCTTTCAACTCTAAAATGCTACCATTTTGGGATCCTCTCCAGCCTTCTCGAAAGTAACCAGTTTTCAAGCACAGTTCCAAAGGAGAGAAACAAAAAAACATCCCCAGTCTATTCCTTTGAAACAGTAGGTGTACGGGGCAGCTAGCTGGTGCAGTGGATAGCGCACTGGCCCTGAAGTCAGGAGGACCTGAGTTCAAATCCGGCCTCAGCCTAAACACTTGATATTTACTAGCTGTGTGACCCGGGGCAAGTCACTCTACCCCAATTGCCTAAAAAACAAAACAAAACAAAAAAAACAGTAGGAGGTGCATGGTGTGATACACTGCACATATTTTCACTTTTCCAATGAATTAATTTGTCTTGCTCATTTTTTTCTCTTTCTTTTTTTCCTTTAAAATATTATTTGTTATATGAGATGGCTCTCTGGGAATAGGAAAGGGGAGGGATACTATGAGAAAATTTGGTAATGTAAAAAAAGATATCAATAAAAATTTTTTTAAAAAAATAAATCATTTCACTTCAGAAAAACCTGGAAACACTTGCATGAACTGATGCTGAGAGAAGTGAGCAGAACCAGGACAACAATACACAGTAACAGTAACACTGTGCAATGACCGACTTTGAAACACTTAGTTCTTCTGAGCAATGCAATGATCTAAGACAATTCTAAAAGACTCATGATGGAAAATGCTATCCACATCCAGAGAAAGAACTATGGGGTTGAATGCAGATCAAAGCATACTATTTGTTCTTTTTTTTTGGTTGTTTTTTGTTTTCTTTCTCGTGGTTTTTCCTTTTTGTTCTGATTCTTCTTTCACAACATGACTAATGTGGAAATATGTTTAATATGATCATACATGTACAGCCTATATCAGATTGCATGCCATCTTGGGGAGGGGAGAATGGAGAGAGGGAAGGGGAATTCAGAACTCAAAGTCTTATAAAAGCAAATGCTGAAAACTAAAAATAAATTATTTTTTTAAAAAAATCAATCACTTTACTAACTGAATGCTAGTAGCTGGGACAATGCAAAATTCTACCTTATCTAATTTAGGACTTAATTAACTAAACCTTGCATTCATCCCCTCCTCCCCTACCCCCAGCCATCGGTTCTAACACAGTACACTGCACACAGTGAGTGCTTAATAAAGGTCTGTTGAATTGAATGTGGGCAAAATGATCTTACTTAATTCAATTCAATTAACATTTATTGAACACCCACTCAAATCCTTGCTCTGTGGTAGCAGAGGGATCAGGAAAGGATAAATAGAAGAGATAGCAATTAAGCCTTGGAGGATTCTGAAAGGGGAGATGAGGAGACAAGGAGAATGATCTGCATAAATGGAAAGAGGAACCAGTATATCAAATGCAGAGACTAGCTGTAAAATTGAATACATGAAGGGGAATAGTGAAAGAAGGCTGGAAATGGAAGGCTCAATGTTCCTGGTTGCTTCAAATGATAGCCTCCTCTAAGACTTGATGATAATCAGAGTCAATGATTACAATCACAGTAAATGGGTCCTTTTACCCATTTCTAATTTAATATATTCAGCATCTTATTTAAATAAGGTTTCTTGGGGATTATTATAACTCTATTGTCTTCTCATCTACTCCTTTTTTAATTTTGATTTTCATTTTTGCTCTAAGTGGTCTGACTATACATGGTTCTGAAATGACTCCATCAGTAACCTGTTAATTCCCACGATGAAATCAATTTCATTTTTTGAGATGATACCCAGTGCTCACCAGGTCCACAACCTTCTGACTCTTTGTTAAGAAAATATTCACAACATACTCGTCCAGACCTTCCTATTCTGTGCAGTTTTTGTCCAAGTCTTTTTGTAAATCTGAGACTTTCCAGATTACCTTTTAAACAGGAGTGAGGCAGTCCTTGATAGTTTCTGAGCCAGAGAAATCTGACCATGTGGGATGTAAGGTGAACTATGTCTATAGGTGCCTTGTAAGAAGCCCTCCTTGACATATGCTGGAAGAATCTCATTAACAAATAAGTTAGGCATTTTCACCTCATGATGTTAAGGGCTGTTAAGGGGTCCCGGAACTTGTCTTTTTGAGTTGCTGTATTTTCCAGAAACACTGGATCCAAAGTGCAGGAGGCCCTGAATGTGTCAAGGATGAAGCTCCCCCTAAGCTGACATAAATCATTGTTGCACCCCAAACTGGACTCCTCGTGTGTCCTTGGGAAGCAAGACAGACACCAACCAGTCTGTGCCAGGCTGGGACAATGCTTGTGTAGCTTGGGTCCTTTGCAGATAAGAAGAACTTCCTATCCTTATATTTTCCCCAGGGAAAAGAATGAGGCTTTTGCCATTACCTTGCTCCTCCTCATGGGGAGCAGTCTTGTCTTTTTTCCCACCTTTGCTGCACCATTCCCCCTCCCATATTACTCCCCTTCCTGGTATCCCTTCCTCCCTGGTCCTATTATAAAAATGTAAACTTCTGTAAAGACTGGGAACCTTACGGGTTCCACATGCATGATCATTTCTCTTGTAATAAACCTGGTTTTCACATAAGTCTTGTGATGTGGTGACTGACTGTTGACAGTATTCTTTCAGTTGCTGCTGCTACATCACTACATACATACCACATGTAGAGTACCTTCTTGACTGATATGCAGTGCTCAATAACTAACTATGATTCAAGAGACAGAGTATTACGGAATTTATTTTTGCAGATGACATTCATTCCCTCGTGGTCCAAGATGCACTGAGTGTTCTCGCCTTTTACTGTGATCAGTCTTCTCTGCTGCAATACGGCGATGCTCTTCTCCCTTCTCCAGAGTGTTTCTCCTCTCTGAATTCTTTGCTGTCAATCTGACCTTGATTTCCTGCCTTGGCCTTCCTTCTCCCTTTCATGGGCAGCCTACCTCTCCTATTGAGTTCCATTCTATTGTTGCATTCACGTAGGTCTCATGAGCTGTCTGAATGCTCTCACACTGTTGGCACCAAGGACAGCCTTGTGAAGAAGCAAGCCCTCGTCATCTGCTGCCTGCCTTCTCCACTCTCCATCACAGACCTGGCCCCTGGGCCAGCCAGTGAGCTCACATGGAGCACTTTGCGCAGCAAGAGTCCTTGGAATTCTTTCCATTTGATCTTCTTTTGCAGTAACATGGACAACCTCAAGTCACTCTGAGATCCTGGCAATGACTCTTTCCTCACTGACAGAAAAGAACTGCCTCATGTCACTGGGGGTGAAATCGACGTGATTAAATGCTGTCTTAGTGAAAAGAGTGAATATTCACAAGTGTTTCTCAGAATGGTTCTTTAAATGATTAAATTAAGCAAATACTGTTCAAATGCCTGCTATGTAAGGAACCTTATGCTAGGTGATGAAGAAACATTAAGACCTGGTCCTCGCTTTCATGGAATGAAGTATAGCAAGGAAATATGACACAAAGCTAAATAACCCCAGTAAAACTGTCTTAAAAATATAAAGCAGATTAGTAAAAGCAGAATATTTTTGTGTGAGGTCTAAGCAATAAAACATCACTGCTGCCTAGGGGAAGATTATGGAAAACTTCCTGGGGAAGGTAGAACAGTAGGGTTTGAAGAGATAAGGAAGATGACTAGGCCTAAAGAAATCAAAGAAAGAAGAAAAGAATCCATACGCACAAAAAATATTTATAGTGGCCTTTTTAATGGTAGCAAAGAACCAGAAACAAAGGAGATGCCCATCAATTGGGGAATGGCTGACAAAACTATTATAACAATGTAATAGAATACTATTGTGCCAAAGAAATGATGATAGGAACAGTTTCTGAGAAACCTGGGAATATTTACATGAACTGATCCAGAATAAGGAGGGCAGAACAAGAGAACAATTTAAACAATAAGCATATTTTAAAAACAAACAACTTTGAAAGACTTAAGAATACAACGATCTGATCAATACAATGACTAGCCATGATTCCTGAGGACTAATGGAGCATGCCACTCAAGTCCTACCTGAGAGGTGATAAGACTCAGGGTAAAGAACTAACATACATACATACATTTTTACATGATCAATGTGGGAATCTATTTTGCTTGGCGGGGCACAGTTATTAGAAAAGCTCTGCTTTTCTTTTTTTCAGCTGGGGGATGGTTGGTAGAAAGGAGAAAGAATGGATTTTTGTTCATTGAAAAAAATTCATTTAAAAAATATAGGCAAAGAATTCAGTATGTGAGGAGGTAGAGGAAATTCCAGATACAGGAAAAGCATGAACAAAGACTCAAAGGCAGGAAAGTATAGGCCATATAAGAGGAATGGCAAATAATTTTTTTGGATCCTCAGGCATTTGGCAGGTAGTGTAGTAAGAAAAAAAGACTGAAAAGATGAAATGGTACCAGATAGTTAAGATCTTGAATGCCAAAGTACCTAAAACTTAAAACTTCTCCGGCCTTAGTTGCATCAAATGTAAAATGGGAGGCCTAAGATAACCTCTAAGGTCCCTCTTTAGCTTGACTATGTCCATAATCCTAAGGCTTTGGTGGTTTTTTTCCATTTCTTCCCCCTCAACCATGTTTTCCACCCTATTTTTCCCTGTCCTCCCCAGACCTACTTTCACAACGAAGTTACTGAGTAACAAAATATACTTTAATTTGGAAGATCCTTATAGTTGCTTCGAGAATTTCTCTACCACTTCATCCTCTGTAATGTATGTTGGCACAAAAGTTATAATTATCTTTATGGCAATCTTTGCCCACACTCACCATGAGAACCACAAGGCAATATGACCAAGCACCCACAAAAGGATGTTTCTTGTTGTTTTGGGGGTATCATAAAACCAATGCCATTGACTCCATCATTTGCCTCTCCAAAGAAAGCATGAGAACCATCCTTGTACTAAGCTGCAACTTGACAACTTCTGGTTTCACTTATGATGAGAATGTTAACATGAAAATGGTTCAGTATATTAACCCATTTGTCAATGGGCAGAGATCTCATATATAATCCTAATAGTTATTTTTATAGATGATATAAAAACCATGTCACGCAGTAATATAAAAAAAAAAACCATTAAAAGGTCTCTATAACCAAAGCCATGTGCAATCATGACTTTTGAGAAATGACAGTGAAGCCTGTCTCCTACCCCTTGGCAGAGAGGTGATTCTGTGACTCCCCCACTCAATTAACTCTAGGGGCTCCACTGTTTCTGAGATCAGAAACAAACAGCTCTGTTTAGCTATGAAAGTCCAGTACAAGTTGGCTCCAATCCATCCTTCTGGCTTCCCTAGATATTATTCCCTCTGTTCCTCATAAGCGACAGTCCACCTCTCATCTGCATGCCTTTGCACCGGCCATCACACATGCCCTCCTCACCTTGGCCTCCCAGAGCCCTTCTTTACCCTGACGATGCAGCTGAAACATTCTTTTTTTATATGAAGCTTTTCCTGACCCCACTCCCCACAAATGCCAGTGAGTGCCCTCCTTTATATTTAACTCCTCTGTACATAGCTGTATTTGTTAACTGTATATATGGCTCCTGCTGAAAAGATTAAGATCGATCCTGTACCATTTTCTTATTGATCCTATTTAAAATTCATTGATTTTTGTCCCATAATTGCTTAAGGCATGGGTCTTTGTCTCTGAACTTAGTTCAGCTGGCCTGCAATGGCTTAAGGTTAAAAATCCAGCTCTCCTGCTCAAGGAATTTAACTGATCTTTGAGAATACATGGCAAAGAAAGGGAGACAGGCCTGATATCTTTACTCCACCAACCTATATCTGGGCCACTATCTCACACCTGGACTCAAACAAAGAGCACCTCTTAGTCTCATGAGAGAAGAAGGGAGGTCGTTGCTAGCCCCCGATTACCAACCTTCCAACTGTCCATGTTGCTTCCTGCACCTCAGCTCTGTAATCAGTCATGCTGCCCTTAATCCTCTATTATCTACCATACACTGTTCTTTGTTTTCTACTTCCGAAAACCTATATAAAGAGAACTGTTCCTTTGCTTGGAGTCTTTGGCATTAATGGAGGCAAGTCAATGACCTATTTACTGACAGGTAGCATGCCCCTGAAAATAAACGATATCATACGTAGAGACCTGACTCAGTTTACCCTTTTGTTAAAATTCAAACACTACACTGTACACGTTTTATATGGACATATTGTATTTCCCCATTAGAATGTAAGCTTCTTATGAGAAGGGACTGCTTTATTCTTTGTACTTATATCCATAGGGCCTTGCACATAGTGGCACTTTATAAATACTTGCTGAGCGACTAGAATGAAGTATATATTTTCAGATATAGCTAATGTGTTGATTTGTTTTGCCTGACTATACTCATTTCTTAAAGGGAGAAGGTGGGTGGGGGGAATCATCGGGAAGTGATAGTGATGTTAAAAAAAAAAAAACCATAAATAAAAAGTGAAAAAAAAAAACCTATATTATCCTTAGCACTCACCACATCTTTTTTCACTACAATCACTATGGTGGTGAGAGGTGCCATGAATGACTATTTTGTATTCTTTGTTTCACAGTTTGCGAAGGCCAAAGAATTAATCGTTTTCTAATAGCCAACCTGCTGGCTACTGAATGTCTCTGCATGTAGGCTGATCCATAGTCAGCAGCAGTCTACTGCCAGGCCCATAACTCAAAGCCTTTTGAACTTGGGTAAAACTTGCCAGAGCTAGGATGCTACTGGGAAGGTCTTTGACAACTGAGGCTCCCCTCCATGCCATAGTGAGGCATCAGAGGGAGATTTCTGTAGAGGAATCCTTCTTTACTAATAATACTATCCAAAATTTAAACCAATTTCAAAAATAAATCTTACTCATCTTTCCATCAACAATAAGAGAAAGATCATTTCATCACAAGCAACTGGTACTGAATTCTTTTAATCCCATACCTCCTATGTCTGAAGGTTCAGACAATTCTTAGTGTCACCTTTAAAAAAATTCTCTCTCTCCTAACAGGGTGTCAATTTACCTACAACCCCTTTCAATTAAGTCAGCCATATCCCTGCTAAGACCACAGCTGGAGAATAAATCGGAATATAAATTCTCTAAGAACCCTACAGGAAAAGGAAGGTAGCTGTCTGCAACCAAGCCTCACTGGCTGGGAGACTACAAAGGCCTCCAATGTTCAATCCAGTCCTATGGTATCGCCTGTGACCTCTGGTGACCTAGTTAACTCAGGCGAGCTATGTCATTTTTTTAAAATTCAGCTTGAGATAATGGAAACTTCCCCACAAAATGAAATATTCCTTTCCCCTGCTGGTCTAAATAAGCTGCTTAGAAATACTCAGGTTTCCCACAATACGTATTAATAGCTCCCGCTACTTCAACAGATCAGTGACTGCAGAGACAGAATTGCTCTTTCCGACGATGCTGATCACACCCCATGCAGGCCTGCCTAGGCTGGGCAACGCTTGTCCGCATCTATTTCCAGATATCTTGGCAATAATTTTCACATTTTACAACTCAGCTTCACAGGCTCACAGATCAAGGGCTAGGAGGTACCTCAGAGTCCAACCCCTTCAATTTTCCAGCCGAGGAAACTCAGGCCCAGAGAGGTCAAGTGTCCTGCTCAATAAGTCAGCTAGACTCAATCACTGGCAGAATTTGAACCCAGATCCTCTGACTCCTGAACCAGGGTTCTTTCCACAGTACCATTTCTGTTAACACTTCTGGTCCTTAAAATCAGACACATTCTAGGAAGTGGGCAAGTGATTCAGGCCCAAACTGCCCAGGAAAAATGTCAAAGAATCACATGCACAGCATTGGGGAAGCGACACAGGGAGACACAATGTTCAGATCAAGAATCATCCCTGCTTTCACGCAGCTTACATTAAATACACAAAGAGCTTTGCTGCAGATACACGTTAAGTGAATGAGAGGCACAACAAAGATTTATATGAGGGTCAAGGCAGTGAGGAGGAAAAGCATTTGAGCTGGACTTTAAGACAGGATTCCACATATAAGGACTGTGGTAAGCAGCAGAAAACTGAGGAGGGAGGGGCAGATGGGGCATGTACAAAGGCCAGTAATTACCTATTTTGTCTGGAACATAGAGTATGTAGAGGGGAGCAGTATGAAATAAGGTAGTGGAGAGGGGAGGAAGGCTCCATATTATTAAGAGCCTAGAATGCCAAGCTAAAGTTTCAGGGTATGGGGAAGAGTAGACACATAATTGAGTCTATGCATGAGGAAGAGGAATCAGACAGGGACACAAAGGATGGCTGCAACAGTCCAGGTCTATATAGGGTGATGGCAATGGGAACAGAGAGGAGGGGACAGAAGTCAGAGAAACTGCAAAGGCAAAATGATTAACAGTTTAAGAAAAACTTTCTTGAAAAACTGAGACTATGATACATACAATGTATATAAATGCAGTACTTTAAATTTAACAAAAAAAAAACTTCAAAATTCATACCGCTTTTCCTTTGAAATGCAGAGCTGATCAAAATCAGAGGTGTGCTCACTTCCTCTACTGAAGAGGCTCCATGGCCTCCTGTTTCAGACATCCCATGATCTCCACAAAGGACCAATAAATGGGGCAAAGAAGCCTCTCTCTCCTACAATTAAAAGGACAAACTTCTCAACTGTATTACAAGTTGAAGGCTGCTGTGAGCTCTAGAGGCCTTGGTCTGCCTCAGCACCGTAACATACATATAACACTGGGACAGGAGAAGACTAAGGCTCAGGAACTAAAGGAACCCATCGAGTCTAGCTCCTGACAGCCTTACAGCCCGTCAGGATTCCCCATCATCCACAGCCATTTAAAGCTATCCAACTCTGATCTTCACCAGTCCTGTGGATCTCCTGATTAACAGCTGCTGAAACACTACGGAAGAGTCAAGATTATGAGAAAATACATCCTAGGTGGATCGATGACTCTGTAGGAGTAATGGAAGTCCTAAGAAATAGGAAAGCAATAACTTGTAAGATAGGTGTGGGAGTGGAAAAGGCAATACCTCTAAACAGGCACAGAAGAGCAGTCTGATAGCCACTATGCCTTAATGAAATAGGGAGTGGCCATCTGAGGGGGATTATCTGTATTGGGGGAAAAGTATGTATGCAAGGCTGTCCTCATCACGTCACTGAAAATATCTTTCTTCTCCCAAACCACAACAAACTTACTCCAATAAAATGGTCTGCTGTTTCGATACACAGGGGTTCTAATAGTAGATGAACTAAAAAGAAGTTTATGGACTGAACCCTCAAATTCATCTCTAAACGAATCAGTAGTGTGCCCAGAATTCAGACATACTTAAGGTCATGACAAGTTTCCATGTTAATGTAATATGGATGTTTCTAAAAAAGTCTTCAAAATAAAAGCATTTGTGGAAGAAAAACAACCCTTATGACCCCCCACAGCACTCTTAATACAACAGGGAAGTTAGAGGGCAACATGCTATGCCAAAGAAATAAGAATATAAGTAATCTCAGATGATTGAAAAGTCTTCATTAATGCCATCCTTTACCAAATGTTTTTTGAACACCTATGATGTACATGGCACAAATTCTCCCTGAAAATATAATAAGGTATATGAATACTAATTTTTACCTAAATGAGTACATACCTTGGTAGGCAAAATGTGAAAACAGAAATTTCTTATTAGTTCTCTTTCTTAGGAAAAACAAATAGCAACAACAGAAAAAAAAAAATCTATCGCCACCCGAACAATTACCCCGCCTGCCCCCATGTCCCCCCAAGTAGCTTACCTTGGACAATAATGAAATGTGGATCTTCTTTAGGATGTAATCCATTTCTTTAAGCTTTGGTCCTATCATGGGACTATGTGGCCCAGTTATGTGACCAATATGATCTAATCCTAGGTAGTGAAGTATTAGCATATCCCAGTCTTCCCTTTTTAATACATTATCCAAATGCCTTGTAACATTATCATCAACCTTTAGAAGGAAGGAAAAAAATACCTTTAGAAGCTCATCTAATTTTCCTTCTCCTTTTCCCCAGTGGATGAAAATGAAATAATGGGCTGAATTATACTGCTAAAGCAGGCTTTTCTCTTCTAGTACAGTAAAATAACACTATTGTTAATATTAGGCCAAAACAATGATAGACTTTCAACCCTTTGTAGTTTTTAGGTTTCAAGTGACATGATTTGCTCATGAAAGCCAAGAGTAACACCAGTCTTATCAATTACAATAATGTCCCGGTGATGCTATAGGACTATGAATTAGGGAAAACTATGACTGCCAAAAAAAATCAAAATTGTGAATGACCCAAAGGGCAACAGAGAAACACAGAGTGGATCTAAATAAGCAAGCTGTACATAGCAAACTACTGGCAATGGCTCACATACAAGAAGCTGTATAAAAAATATTAAGGATAAGCATGACCAGAAAAGAAAGTGAGGGGTCACATAGTGAGACCAAAGGATGGATAGTCTGAGTCCTGTACTGTATCTGTGATCACAATCACAATAAAGATCTAAATCACAATCATTTATGACCTGTGGAACCTTGGGCCAGTCACATCCTAGTTCTGGGCCTCATTTGTTAATGAGGGAGTTAGACTAGATGACCTCTAAGATCCCTTCTAGCTCTCAATTTATTTTTCTAAAACCAAGAGAAATAGCTCCAGTGAATTTAGTAGATTTTGTATATTGTGTCTACGGATAAGAACTGCATTGATAAGAAGACGTAGTTACAACCTGAATCAGGGGAAGGGGTAACCCTATCAAAAACAACATGGCTCCTTCAAGGTAGAAGTAAATGCCAACAGAGATCTCCTGTGATATAAGAGTGAATGAAAATGGACAATTCTAAGTGAAAGCAAAACCACCTTGCAATGAAGTTTTTTCCTCCCAAATCAATGCAATGATTTTTATTAATAGCACCAACAACTTTATTAGAAGAGGAATTACAGCCAAAACAGGCAGTTTGTTTTGGGCAAACGTGACTTGAAATCAGGAACATCTGAGCTTGAACTCTGAGCAAGTCATTCAGCCTCTCTCAGCCTCAGTTTCCTCATCTGGAAAATGGGGATTTGCGAGGATCAAATGAAATAACATATATAAAGTGCTCTGTAAACCTTAGAGTATTATATAAATATTTTTATAACTATCATTATTATTATTTCACAGGATACAAGGCAGAGAATAATTAGGTCCCAAACTGTTACTTACACAAGGGGAAAGGAACAGTGATTTGTTATTACTGATAATAATAAAAAAAATAATACTAGCTAGCATTTATATAGCACCTACTATGCACCAGGCACTGTGCTGAGAACTTTACAAATATTATCTCATTTGATCCTCACAACAACTTTAAGAGGAAGGTGATATTACTATCCCAATTTTACAGATGAGGAAACTGAGGGAGATAGAGGCTAAGTGTCTTGCCCAGGCCACACAGTTAGTAAGTGCCTGAGGCTGTCTGTTGTTCAAGGACCAATCTAGCTCATTCAGAGGCTCACCAACACGCTAGTCACTGGCTAACAAAAATTTTTGGCCAAGGAAAATGTCTATTAAGTTGCAAAGATCTTGAGATCTGCATGAATGGAGGGTGTATTCATGCTGAAGAAATCATGGGTCCCTAACGTGCTAAAGTATAATAACTTGCTTTATCAAATCACTCACCTCTCTAAAATCTGACACGAAAAAGGAGGTTGTTCCATCGTATTCTACAAAATGCTTTGGGAATAATTTAATCCATGTATCATCTCCATAAAAGATGATTCTTTTCCCAGCTGCTTTTGCCTGCCCAATGAGGTTGTCTTCCAGCAACACGGGAGAATTAAAGTTCATAACAGCATCAATAAAGCCAGGGATGCTTCCCGTCATTAGAGCCTGTGTAGGAAAAAACATTAAACATTAGCCCACAAAACCATGGACTCTCAGAGACAGATAGTATTAGGTAACATTTACAAACAATTTAAGGTTCAGCCAGGTTTTCTTCACAACCACCCTGGCAGATAGATAGAAAAGTATCATTCTCACTGTACAGATGAAGAAAACGAGGCCCCAGGAGGTTGAAGTGACCCATGATTTTTAAAATATATCATACTGCTTCCCCAAGAGAAAAAAGATTATCTAATGCAGGGGTAGGGAACCTGCAGCCTCGAGGCCACATGTGGCCTTCTAGGTCCTTGGGTGTGGCCTTTTGACTGAGTCCAAGTTTTATAGAACAAAAGCTTTTATTAAAGGGATTTTTTTCTGTGAAGCTTGGATTCAAAGGGTTACATCTGAGGACCTAAAGGACCACATGTGGCCTTGAGGCTGCAGGTTCCCCACCCATGATCTAGTCCAACCCTCTCCCTTTACAAACAGGTGAAATAAGTTTCAGAGTGGGAACATGATTTGCCAAAAATCCTACAGCTAAGTCATGGTGAGCTGGGAATGGAACCCTGGACTGACATTGCATACTCTTCTCTTTTACTGTGCTGGGACCCAAGGACAGCAAAACTTGAGCCAAAAGGACTTAAATGCCAGACTAACTAGTGCAGACTTTATCTTGTGGGCAACAGTTCTCCATCAAAGATTTATAAGCAACAAAGTGACATGGTACGGAAGCAGTTTTAAAAGATTAATAAGAGTGGTATAAGGATAAGAACTGGAGATTAAAGGCTGCCCACTTAGGCTCCTGCCGTGTGGGCAGGCTTCACATTTCATCCAATGCATTGCTAGAAAACAGCATACTGGAGAAGTGGGAGACCAGTGGTACAGAAAGCTGCATGGGCTGTCAGACCCAACTCTCGCCAGTTTGCTGAAGTTAAAAAAAAAAAATTTGTTACAGGGGAAGCCTCAGGGGGAAAGTTGGAGTTGGCAGAAAGTGAATTATTCAAAAACAAATAGGACCTCTTTGGGATACAAGTCTAGTAGTGGTATTGCTGGATCAAAGGACATGCACAGCTTTATAGCCCTTTGGACATAGTTCCAAACTGCTCTCCAGGACGGCTGGATCAGTTCACAACTCCATCAAAAGTGCATTACTGTCCCTATTTTTCCACATCCCAACATTTATCATTTTCCTTTTCTGTCATTAGCCAATCGGATGGGTGTGAGGTGGTCCCTCAGAGCTGTTTTAATTTGCATTTCTCTAATCAATAGTGATTTAGAGTATTTTTATGTGACTATAGATAGCTCTGATTTCTTTGTCTGAAAACTGCCTGTTCATATCCTTTGACCATTTTATCCTTTGACCATTTTATCAACTGGGGAATGACTTTTATCCTTATAAATTTGACCCAGTTCTCTATATATTTGAGAAATGAAGCTTTATCAGAAATATTTGCTATAAAATTTTCCCCCCATTTTTCTGCTTTCCTTCTAATTTTAGTTGCATTGGTTTTGTTACTATTTTCGCTTTTTTTCTTTTTTTTAGTTTTCTTGCAAAAAATGACCAATATAAAAATGTGTTACATGGTTGCACAAGTATAACTTATAATGGATTGCTTACTGTCTCAGGAATGTGAGAAGGAAGGGAGGGAGGAACAGAATTTGGACTCAAAACTTGAAAAAAAAAACACGAATGTTAAAAACTCTTTTTACATTTACAACTGGGGAAATATATTATTTTAAAAAATAAAACATTTTTAAAGGTATCAATAAAAGTGGTTTGTTTTTTTTTTAAAAATACCTGTCATCTCCAAAAGACTCATAATGGAAAATGCTATCCATATCCAGAGAAAGAACTATGGAGTCTGAATGCAAATGGAAGCATACTATTCACTCTCCTTTTGTTGCTTTGTTTTGTTTCTTCTTTCGTGTGGTTCCTCCCATTAGTTCTAATTCTTCTTTACATCATGACTAATGGAAACTACGCTTAATATGAACGTATAAGTAGAACCTATATCAGATCACATGCCATCTTGGGGAGGGGGGAGCAGAGAGAAGGGGAGAAAATTTAAAACTCAAAATCTCATGGAAGTGAATGTTGAAAACTAAAAATAAATTAAACATACACACACACACACATCATAAAGCAGATAATTTTAGAGTGGGCCCTATTTTTTCCCTAAAATTACATTAAATTAGGAACTGTGTTCTTAACCCAGTACTTGAGCAAGGCCTGATCATATCATTCTCCTGCTCAAGAACTACCACTGGTTCCTTATTGATGTCCCAGCCTCTAGTCCTTCCATGACGAGGTGATGCCATTTTTTCTTTGCATTCAGCATAGTACCCTCAATCATGCACTCAACAATTTACACCAAATTTTCTTAACCTGGTCTCCACGAACTTGTTTTTTTTTACATAAGTTGATAACTATATTTCAATATATGGGCTTTCTCTGTAATACTATGTCTTTTATTTTATGCATTTAAAAACATGACTCTAAGAAGGGTTCCTAGGCTTCCCCAGCCCAAGGGTTCCAATGAGACAAAAATGTTAAGAACTCTCTCCTGGCTCTAGATAAAATGTTCTATTCTCTGGTCCACCTCCGTGTCTCTACTAATGGCATTCACTATGCTTATATACTAACCCAACATCCTCCCCTCACCACCTTATCTGATGAATTCCTACCCATCATTTAAATCTCCACTTAAAAACCATTTCCCAAGGGAAGCCTTTCCTGATTTCCCCTAAACAACGACCTCATCACCCCAGGCTTCACACAAGCACTTGGTTTTGAGCCTCTTCAACGTACTTATGATGCATTATCGTATATCATAACCCTGTGTATATATCTGCTCCTCCTACTAGAATATAATCTCTCTGAAAACAGGAAATACATTCATTCAAACTTTCTCCCCTGCAGGGCTTAATATACCATCCTAACCACAAAAAGCATTTAAACATTTGTTTGTTCTGCTAAATTGAAGGACTGAGAATCACAGAAATTATCAAAAAGTCATAAAAACAAATCACCACTATAAAACTCTAAAATTGTGTAAAATACTTTTTAATGCTCCAGTCATTGAGTTATAGAGTATTAGGCAGGAGAGGAACCTTAGAAACCATCTGGTCTGACCATCTCATTCTACTGTACATATAAAAAAACTGAGAACAATGGAGTAATTCACTGTTGAAAGTCACACACTTAGCTCTAGTGGCAAAGGGAACTAGAATCCGGATCTTCTAACGCCTAATCCATGTTATTTCTACTAAACCACACTGGCTCCCTTCAAAAGCCCTATAAAATAGGTATAAGTGCATTGCTGATATCCAATTATACTCAGGCCTCCAAGATATTATCAAAGCACATGCACAGTACATAATACAATGGTCAGAAATTTGACTTAAAAATAATATGCTAGATAAAAATCAACATTGAACATTTAATTTAAATTATTTTGCTTGCCTTCTTTATCTCAAGGAATTTGGGGAGGTGATCTAGAAGGCCTATGCTTCTTTTAAAATGCTGTCCAGGTAAGTCTTGCTATCTCTCACTCACAATAAATCCCTTGTAGCAAACAAAGGGATTCAAAATGATCCAACTGATCCTTTTTTTTTTTTTGTCGAGGCAATGGGTTGAAGTGACTTGCCCAGGGTCACACAGCTAGTTAAGTGTCAAGTGTCTGAGGCCACATTTGAACTCAGGTCTTCCTGAATCCAGGGCCAGCACTCTATCCATTGTACTATCTAACTGTCCTGTGATCATTCTTTTTAAAAAACAACAGAACCTATTAATATCCAAAAACATCCTAAAAGAATCCATATATAAGTGCTTTGAAAATTGCAAAGTAATATACAGGGTGTCCCAAAAGTCTAAGTATAGTTTTAAGCTGTAATAGCTACACAAATGTCGAGGGTTATAAGGGCTTAGAGAGCAAGAGTGCCCATAGTCTGACTCTCCTGTTTATATATGACCACTATTTCTGTATTTGTAAAATTAAGTTTGGACCACATGGCCTCTAAGGTCCCTCCAGGCTCTGACAGGCAATGATGGGGTTTCCCCTTCTTCTTGGCCTCCATAATACTCACCTTCTCAATTACTCAATCAACCAACTAGCATTGGTTAGTAAGCACTTACTACATGCCAGGAACTGTGCTAAATGCTGGGGATACAAAGACAAAAGTCAGACAGTCTCTCACCTCAAGAAATATAGTCTATAACAGAGGGGACTACACCAACATACATAGGTACATCCAAGATGCAAACAAGTCAGAGAAAAGATCACATTAGAAGGAAAGGCACTAGCAGTGAGGAGGACGGAGAAAGGTCTCCTACAGAAGGTAGTACTTGAGCCCAGGGAGGTTTGTGCCTTTACCATCAAAGGCAGAATGGATAAGCGGCCAAAGCACTGGATATGGAGTCCAAGCACCTGAGTTCAAATTCTGGCTCTGTCAATTACTACCTGTGTGAAACTGGACAGGTCACTTGCCCTCTCTGGGACCCAGTTTCCTTACCTGTAAAATAAGGGGAATGGACTAGATGACCTCTGAAGCCTCCTGTATCTAAATCTATGATCCTACATAGACCTTCCCCAACCTGGTAGCACTCTTACCTCTTCAAGCCTTTTCTCATATTACTACACTTCCCTCTGTATCATCTACGAACCAAGCAAACTACAGCTATTTACCATCTCCCTTACATTCCCCACAATTTCCAAGTTTGGCACCTTTGCTAACTCTATATCTGGAATTTCCCTCCTTGCCTATTGAATTCCTTACCATTCTAAGATCCGACTAATAGGCTGCCTTCTCCATCAGGTCTTCCCTAATCCCCTTCAGGCAGTAACAATTTTTCATCCCCTAAACCTCACACAAAACACTTTGCTTGCACTTTACCAGTAGATTTAGACACTGGTTCTATTTTTTGTTTCTACTACAGTTGTCTACTTATCATATTTCCTTGCTAGACAAAGTTCCTAGAGAGCAACAGAGAGGTCCTGTATGAGATCTGT